TCCAGTGTTTTTCTTGCAGCTTTAAAGTCTACACTTTCCTTCGAGGGGCATTATGGATTGAGGTGCTCAGCAGCTCAGTAGTCAGTTCATCTTTGAAGATCAGCTGGTGGCCTTTTGGAATAACTCCAGACATCTGTTCTAACTTCTTTTACCTTAAGAGAGCTTGACATGAAAGGCCTCTCAGCTGGACGCTTTTACTAATGCAGGCTGGATAATTTAATGGTCCTCGATGACCATGCAGTAAAGGCCTTTATTACCATAGGATGTGTGTTGTTTTATCGTGTTGCTTACTTCTCCAGTCTCCTTTTAATTAGTGCTAAATAGGAACCAGTGAAAAGGGAGCTTTTAAGTAAACCTTAAACATTACACACTGTAAGTCTGCCATGTTTTTCCACTCCAGATGAACTGTTTAAAGTTAAAAATAGGTTTTACTTTCTCTGCCTTCATGCGATCGTCTCCGCCTTTTGTATTTCCTCAGATGTTGTTCCTTGTTCCTCACCCCTGAGGTTTTTTTTTTTCTTTTTAAAAACAAATGTGTCAGCACTTTCATAGCAGACAAAACACTCTATAAAAAGGACATGAAAGCTGAAATGAAAACATGGTTTCCCTCCTTGCTAAAGAAGGAATCTCCAGTTTTAAACAATAAGGAATCCACCCTTTCGCAGGCGGGCGACTTCAAACGCTTGCCGGGTTGTTGTGGATTTTTTTTAAAGTCAGTTGTGGCTCATTTAGCCACAACAACACGGGCTCCAGCTGGCTGTTTGTTAGCGGCCTTGCAGCAGAACAATAACTGTCGCGGCCACATGCACGGGGGGCGGGGCGGTGGCTAACGCCACTCGGCTAAACAGCAGGAATAGCCACCGAGCAAGGCCACGAGCAGTTAAAACACAGGAAATTAGCCACTGTTTACTTTCGCTTGCCTACATTCGCTCCTGCTAATTGATTGCACAGAGCCCCCTGGTGGATTTCAGGTCTCAAAGGAAGGAGCTCTGAGTGTCACTGTTGCACGTTTTATTGTTTATGATGCTGTTGAAATGAAGCAAGCGGTATTTGACCCATTTGTGGCCCCCAGGACTGCTGGTGTGCTGCTGCATTAGCCCTACAGTAATCCCCCGGCGACCCAGAAAGTCATTTCTGGAGCAGGTGGTTATGTGGGCCATAGGACTAATAACAGCAGCGGTGTCATATGGCTGAGAAGGTGTTAAAACCAGGGAGGGTTCATAAAGAAAGCTTCAAATTTTGACGGCTGACCACTACACTCTAATTACAGCTGCCTCTTGTGTGTATATAGTTTGTGTGTAGGCGAGATTACGAGAGCTCTTCTTCTAAGTTTTAGCATTTTGACCATATCTCTGCAACACTTTGCACACAGGGTGTTTGCTGCAATGAGGATGAAGGTCGACACATTTCCCAGCATGCATTTGCATTCCTGGAGCCTCTCATGGGATTTTTTTTTCTTTTTTGGAGGGATGTGTGCGGATGAAAGGGGTAAACCAGAAGGACAAACTGCACTGCTCTCTGGGGCATCTTTTTCCAGCTGAGGCCGTCATCTCACGGCCTCTGATGCAGAGAAAAGGATGTGTGATTTCGTTTTGCGTGGGTGGCCTGTTTACATTCCAGGCATTCCTCACGGGAATCCCTCTCTCTGTTTCTTCGGATCCTGTGCTGGAGCGCCTGGGAAGGCATTTGCGTCCGTGATATTCTCAGAGGTCTCTCTGGAAAACATTTGGAAAGTGAAGCCCTACTTACACACAACCGAGCGCACATCCCGATGGACTCTTTAACTGAATTCTGGGAATGTGGTGTTTATTTGTAGCATAGGGGTTTATTTAAAAATGACATTTGGAATTAAAGTTCTTGATTTGTCATCCTTCCATGCTCGGTCTACTAATGGAGGCTTCTAGGAAAGTATTACACAACAAATTTGTTGTAGGAAGTCAGGGGATTGCAAATGTCATTTTTGTACCCAAAGCAGCTTATCTGCAATCTCGTCTGTGGCCTTGTTCACGCTGTTAATTCCTCCTCAAGAGATGATTTTGTGCTCCTTGCTGCGTCAGCTTACGGCAGACTGGGTGCCTTTTCTATCTCCCTCTTAATCTTCAGATCGCATGCTTTCTTTTGAATTGCATTTTCATGGTATTTAGGGTCTTTTGTTTTTAAAGGAGATAAAGAAATCCAAGAGATGCTTTCGTTCACTCAGCTTCTCTTTAAGGAGATCGTGTTGGCTTTTCTTTAATTGACTTCCTCCTTTGGGAAAAGCTTCAGAGCTACACTAAGCATCCTGTCTGTCCTGATAGTCTGGCTTACAATAAGTGCTAGACACTCACGAAGTCATAAAGCTTTAGCACCATACCGTGTCGTATGTATTACGCGTTTCACCCCGGGTGATGTCAACAAGAAATAAAATCTCCATCAGCAGCACTGGTGGGGTCAGGGCGATGTAGAGTGGTTCTGTTGTGCAGTGTGTTAAGTCTCCAGGGCACTGCTAATGGTCTAATATGAGTTGGCGGTCAGGAGCGTTGAGAGGTCATTTACAAACGCTGTATTGTAAGGGCTCTTGATTTTAAGGGGCACTCGAGAGGAGTGTGCATTCTGACGTCTGTGCGCGCAGAGGAGTTTGCACAAGTCTTAGAACTTTAACTTCTGCACACTCTCCCACTTACCACTATTTTATTGAGTCACAAAGCTTCAGACTAGCTCACCTTCATCAGGTACAAAACAATTTTCATATTATCACCCACACACAATTTTACAAACGTTTACTTCAGGTAGCATTCGATCATCCATCAATTAGGGAATATTACCTGGTGAACATGTCAGGTGTGCTAAAAATCAACATCAGCTTAGTGATAAAACATCCACACGTCCTCTAAAAGAAAGAACTAGTCAAGTCATTTTCCGTTCCACATACCAGGAGAAACCTGGATACATCACTACATAAATAAAATATGTAATGTGTAACTGCCCCTCAGAAAAAATGGTGTCCGTTAAGCGCCACCTTTGGCTTTGTTTTTTAGATCATTCTGAGCACCTGTGGCAGAAAACTATCACAGCTGAGTAGATAAACAATAAGTGCTTCATTTGGTATAAAAATATCCATCCATCTTCATATTCAAGTCAAGTTGCAGGTGGACCGAAATGTTCCCAGCTGTCATAGGACTAAAGGCAGGGTAGACCCTGGAAGGACAGACAACCATTCATGCTGACACTCAGCAGACAATTAACCTGACGCGTGCATCTCTTTGGACTGCTAGAGTACGTGGAGACAACCCACACAAGCATAGAGAAACCGGCCTCACAGGATCTTCTTCCTGTGAGGCAAGAAGGTGTCTGCATCACCGTGCTAAAAACATACATTTAATATTCTTTTTTTCTCCATAATAATTATCATCAAAATTTGTTGGCCTCCCTAAACAGATACTGCCGTGATTTCGAGTTAAGGTACAGTTTATATGGCCTGATTTTACTTAAAGTCTGCAGGCTCTGCATTCCTATATGAAGCACCGCCCTGAGGCAAAGTAAGAAAGGTGTGGGAGGTGTAGTTTTGTAAGCTAGGGACCCTCCACTAAGCAGTTCTGATGGTATAAAACAGGTTTTTCCTCCACGTTTCACCTTTCTATGTCCGTACACGTCTGTGAATAATATCAGTGAGTGTCACCTCTGTGTGTGTCCTGCTCTCTGCTCACATCACATCTTGCCACATTATCCACCCACTGCGGCAGGGTGGATTTGCCACTGGCCACCTCAGCTTCCTTGAAAGTGTCAGAGTGTGAAGGTGCCTCACTTGCATTTTCCTCTCGGCCGGCTGCCCGCACACTGAGCGCGCTCTAATATATTCTTTCTCATCACTCACTCCTCTCTGCCTCCACCTCGTTCTGTCACGCTGATGTCTGCCACTTGCTAATTGGTTCATCTCTATTCCAATGACTCTGTGTGCGTGACCATTTTCGGCGTATTTTTTGAGTCTAAATTCCCGAGTGTGGCTTTGTGTGTGTGTGTGTGTGTGTGTGTGTGTGTGTGTGTGTGTGTGTGTGTGTGTGTGTGTGTGTGTGTGACTGACAGCAGATTTTCTGCCACCAGCCGGCATCCTGTTTACTGCTCTGATGCACATTCAGCTGGTTCATTTGGTTTTCAGCCCTCCCTGGGGACACACAGAGCCGCCCCCATTAACTGATTTGAGAAGGGCTGTGGCAGCCACTGCTGCTTTGTAAATAAATATTCTACCATGTTACATATTTATTATACACGCTTTGGCCCTCTAGTTCATGTAGCTGAGCAATAGTGTGTTGACGACACAGGGTTCAGCAGTGGGATTATGCAGTTTTTGGCTTCAGTTGTGCCTGTTACGTTCAGAGCATAATTAAGTCTCTGCTGGAGGCTGCAGGCAGCCTGCTGCAGCTACCTAGGTTAGAAATATTGGTAAGTAAAAGTGTTTTAAAACCTCAAAGTCTCAACAAAGGTTCCTGTTTTGATTACACTGTGCATATTTTATAAAGTTTCATTGTGAGTAGTGTATTAAAGAGCTTCACGGGGCCTACAAACACCCTGTCATCATCATCTTCTCAACCGGTTCGTAGACAAGCGGCATCATGTTAAACGCTCAGCAGGTAGCTGTGTCTCAGTCTTTTGACTGAATTACAAACAGATTTCACAACACCAGTTGTCTCAAGGTGGGGCGATCGTGGCTTGTGGGACGATCGTGGCTCAAGAGTTGGGAGTTCGCCTTGTAATCGCAAGGTTGCCGGTTCGAGCCCCAGCTCGGACAGTCTCGGTCGTTGTGTCCTTGGGCAAGACACTTCACCCGTTGCCTACTGGTGGTGGTCAGAGGGCCCGGTGGCGCCAGTGTCCGGCAGCCTCGCCTCTGTCAGTGCGCCCCAGGGTGGCTGTGGCTACAATGTAGCTACCATCACCAATGGGTGGATGACTGGATATGTAAAGCGCTTTGGGGTCCTTAGGGACTAGTAAAAGCGCTATATAAATACAGGCCATTTACCATTTAATATTGTAAGGTAAGCACTTTGGCGACAATGGAAAGGAAGAACTTCCTTTTAACAGGAAGAAACCTCCGTCAGTGTCAGGTTGAAAGTGTATGTTTACCATAAAGACTCAAGAGTCACAAGTGAATAAGCATATTTCCCAAAAGTCAAAAAATATAGACTTTGTTAACAAAAACAATAATTTTGTGCATATTCTCTCCATATCTGCTTTTGATTTTCCTACTCTCTGTTTGGAAGTCCCCTCTCCGCTCACCGCTATGAAAAATGGAATAACCTCTGGTCTGTGAAATGAGAAATCAAATGGAATTGTGAAAACGGTGAAGGCAGAGCTTCATCTGTGCTGTTGCAATCTTCGTGTGTTGCTCAGGCGTGTGCTGCTTGAATTTAACCAGAAATCTGAAGATAGCCGTCTGAAGGTTGCCACGTCTTGCAGCATCCTACCCCCCTGCTTGGCTTGGAGGTTAGGATGGGGGTTGCCATTTGTTTCCACCCCCCACTCCCCACCTGCCGGCTGCTCCTGATTGTAGATGTGCCCTTTGAGTTCCTGCAGGCTTCCATATTTTACCATATCTTTATGGTCCAGCTAGAAGACGTGTTGAATATGCGATGGCGAGCTCCAAAGAGGGACGAGGCTTCTGAAAGTGCAGCCGAAAAGGTTTAACCGCAGATTGTTAAAAGCCGGGGTTGCCAAATGGGACTAAGAGTGGACAAGAGCAGGGATATAAATGGCAGGAAACTGGGGGGGAAAAAGACAAAACATAGGATGCGGAAGAGGGGGTAAAACCAGCAGAGCCGGAAAGGGTTGGATAAGGCTCGTACGTGCATTTGTGTGAAAATTACCAGCCTGTTAAAGCATGTCTGAAAAATGTGTTGCTCTTAAAGGTCAGAGGCCATGACAGCACGCCTCCTAGTACTCCTTTCAAAGCGCACACGTACACCAATTAGCAAAGCAGACTTTCTACTTAAGCCCCAATGTGTTATAGAAGCCTTTCGAGAGGCTCAGACCCACCCCACCACCACCAATAGCACCGTCTGGGTCATCTAATAAACCCGCCCCTGCTGTTGTCCGAGCCTCGTAAAGATGGATCACATTTCCATTTCAGTCGCAGGCGCACACCTCCGTTAATCCTTTTTTTGGCCTGTGTCTTTTGTCCAAAAGGGTTGGTGTCACAGGGGGAGATAAATGAAGTGGCATGTGGCAATTTTCAGAGCAGAAGCAGCGGCAGCTTCGGAGGGTGGTTTCAAGGCTTTGAAGAAGAAAGAATTACATCTGTGGCTGCTCGCATCTCTGACAGTGAAAGTGTGCGTCTGGGTTGTCCATGTGTCACCTCAGTGTGATAAATGTGCATGGGTTTGTGTGTGCGCACGTTCGCCGGAGCGAGAACAGGCATCTGTTGCATATCATTAGCAGCTTTTAGAATGAATTACCTCAGTGGATTTCCCACACACACACACACACACACACACACACACACACACACACACACACACACACACACACACACACACACACACACACAGAGCACCCTTCATCCTATTCCATCCACCCTGATAATCCCTTTATCTTGGCAGCTATTCAACACATAAAGGGCCAATGCCACTGAATAATGATGCGGTCATATCTACTCCTCGCTCCCCCCCGGTGATAATCTTCATCTGGGGATGACAGTGATGGAGAAATTTTATGCATGCGGTCGTTCGGAGTTGAATAAATCTGATTTCCTAATTTCTGGGCCGGGAGCAGGAGTCAAAACAAGCCACGGCACATGTTTGCACACACAAAAACAGGCACACTTTACAGCCCACATCCAGGCTGTCCCTCCTCAAATTCCCAGAGTTCAATCCCCCCACCCTCCTTCTGCCCCTCCAGCCCACCGTCAGTGTTTGCCAAGAAGGTCACTTACGATGTGAGTGACAATCCCTGAAATCGTTAAAACAATCCATCTCCTTTTTTTCTTTTCATTAAAGGCAGCATGCCTCCATTTACATATTTGGATGACACGCCCGGCTGGTTTGTTTAATTGCTGTAAGCTGGTCGGCTGCACAATTACTAAAGTTGTTTTTGTGCTTCAGCATCTTATTATTAGGCGCGCAGCGCCGCCGACACCGAGCTAATCAATTTGAAACAACGGCAGACGTCTTTAATGCCCGAGCGGGGATAATAAAAGTTGCTTTGTCGAGGCGCGCGTGGAGGCTTGTGGTGCAGATCGTAGCTTGCTTCTTGAAATTTCAGTTTGCTTTTTCCTGCAGAGAAGCAAAAAAACCACAAGCACGCGTTTGTCACATTCAGAGGGGAGTTTAGGGCAGCAGACAGTTACAGTATATGTTGTAGATAGGTGATGTTTTTGACAGCAAGAGTACACTTCTGCTTTTCAGCGGAGGGAGTGTGTGTGTGTGAGAGAAAAACAGTGGAAAGCTAAAGATTAATCGCAAGTAGGAGGAGGCAACTGAGCGAGGTCGAGAAAGCTGTTCACCATGAGGAGGAAAGAAGGGAAGGAAAGGGAGGAAACGAAGCAGAAGTGAAATCGAGATGCTTGCAGTATTTGTGAGTGAATATTCTTTTAATAGTTTGTGTTTTCCGTGCTGCACACAGACACACATTGTTGAGGTTAATTGAACAAACGCTCACGGACTCGAGTCCTAATGATTTACATGCAGAGCAGCTGCCTGGGGCTTTGGCAAGAAAAGGAGAAGAAGAAGATAAAGGAGCAGATAAAGTAAGAAAAAGGGGAGGATAGTCTACCTCTGACGGCAAAAATGTGTGAATTTTGCTCAGGATACAGTTTGTGAACCTGAGATCTTCCCTTTGCCACAAAGAAAACATGTTTTGTTAGCTCCCAGAATGCCAGAGGTTATCCAGCCAGGCAATCAAATCAATGCTTATTGCCCATCCAATTAGAGCCCGGCAGCTTCTGGTTCAGCTGCATTTCCGAGTGCGTTTGAAAGAAATCTCCCTGGGCCTCTAAAAAGACTTTGGGGTCACCACGGAAAACTGGCACAGGAAGGCAGGAAATGTGGCTTTTCCCATGGGGTAGTGTGACATTAAGTGGAGGCAGATTTTACAGACGCGCACACATGTTTACACAATCCTCGCACATATGCCCAGAGCCTCTGTGTACTGCAGTGGCTCCGCGAGGTCAGGACAGGTCAGGGAAAAGCTTTGGGAGAGAGAAGATGTGTCATTTCTGGTGAAAGCTTAAGACACATGTTGCTGTTTCTGTAGCCCTGCAGCTGTTTGGGATTCTTGAAGAAGGGAGTTGGCAGTGAACTGTTAAAATTAGCCCCCTTTTTTCTTAAGATTCTGTATAAGAAAGTTAAAAAAGAAGATACATGTGTAAATGTAACCCTGTGGACTTAGACGATGTAAGATTGGTTGGTTTTGCACCTTTGTGCATTTCCTTTAATCTCTTTGGATCATTACAAAACGTTTACATGCTTCATATTTCACTTACATGTCCCCGGTGGGAAATGATTGTGAATGCTACCGCCAGCAGATATAGTTACCGCATCTTGTAAGAAGGAGGGTCGTCATCTTGTGGGTGAATCTATAACAAACACACACGCACGCACGCAAATTTGTAATATGAGAGAGAGAAAATGAGGCAGCCTTGCTAAATTATGCAGTTTCAATTTCCCCATTTAGGGAGGATAGATCAATTTCTCAGACTAAAACCATTAACCCTTAGGATGGCTGGTGTTGCCATGGCAACACTCTTATGTCTCTTGATCGCAAGCACCTGTTTTCATGGGGACGCACCATTGCTTTGGCTCATGCGGGCGTATGCAGCGATCAGTGAGTTAGACTGTGCGAGGCCTGGATTGCACGCACGCACACACACACGCACGCACGCACGCACGCACACACACACACACACTTTCCTGAACTGAAACTTGACGGTTTCTTCAGTTGCAGTGATGGATTTGAGTAAGCAGATCCTGCAGCACCTGCAGGCGTTTCTGTGCATGCGTGCGTGCATTTAATTGCATTGTCTCAGTCAGGGTCAGGGTCCCTTGTTGCACTGCATCCTGTCGGGGAGTTGTATTTCATCTACCCTCTCTGGGGATGGGTGTGTGTGTGTCACAGTGAACTACTGCTTGCCTATGCGGTCTTTCTGCTTTTTCTCGCCATGTATTTTTGTCTCGGCTTTTATTTTACTCCTCCCCCTTCTTTATTTCTTCTAGTAGCTGTGGTTTTTCTACATCTTTTTCTTTTTTCTACACCGTACACTTGTTTTGCTTCTTTTTCCCTTTTTCATCTTCAATTCTTAACCCTTGACATCAGTCCCCCATCCTTCTCCTCCCCTCCCCCATCTATCTCACCCCCTCCACCGAGCAAATGGCCCTCCGGTCAAGTCACAAGATGCTCAGTAGTGTGTTTGGATTTCATGGAGCATTTTTTTTTCTGCTTTCACACAGCCTGCAGGAGTGTCTGCATGCATCTCTGTGTTTATCATGATAATGCTGCCTATGTGTGCTTCTGTATACTAATGTGTGTGTGCGTGCGTGCAAATGTCATTTGCACTGATTGGGAAGACTAGGAGGTCATCAGTTTCCCTTAACCATGTCCACATTACTCTGATGCTATTATGCCAGCAAAGGGAGGCATTGCAAGCATATTGCTGCTTTCCACTTTATCGAGATGGCTTTAGAGCACATTTGGTAAACACAGTATTTCAGGGGTGAGACAAAAGAAACACGGCAATGTCGCATCACATCCTCTTAGAGCTGAATAATCGATACACTGGCACGAAGTATCGACGTTTTTTATTAAATCATGAAGGCGCTCCAAAGGGATTCGACTTAGCAGAGTCTCTGTGACTCCTCTTATCAGTGCTTATCAAGTGAATGAGGATGGCATGAACTGAAAGTAAGCGAGGACAAAACTCACACGGGAAAAAAACGTGGACAGCAAGTCAGAGCAAATCAAATGCCCAGATTACTGAAGTGGACTAACATTAATGCACAGACAGTGTATTATACAGCAGGAATGGAATGAGAAATATTTATGTTTATTGCTTAATGACATTTTATAGACTTAAGTGCCTTACACCTACAGCTAATTTAGAGTCATTAATTACACGTAGGACCTGGAGGAAAACCATACAGTTGCATAACTTTACATAGAAAAGCTCCAGCTGCTACTTTTGGGTGAAGAATCCCTTTTTTTGAGTGTGTCTGTATACCACGTTTAGCTCAGACTTGCAGCATAAATCAGGTTCAGATCATGTTCTAACCATCAGTTTTTATTTGGAACGGGCCACAGACCACCTCCTTCAAAGTGTGACTACCGTGTTCACGTCTGCACAATTAAAACAGTTTGATTTAAATCACTGCCATGTGCCAGATGTTTAAAAAAATGTTTATGTTAATTATTATGTTTTGCAGTATTTGCATAGCGTTACTTACCTCTAGCAACGTCTATTAGCTGTGAAAGCTACCGGTGATCATAATCTGGTGTGACTGCTCCATGAAATTAAAGTTTGGATGGCAGGAGGAGGGCGTGTGGCACTATGCAGGCGGACGTGCAAGGCAGCATTCAGCATGTTTAAAAGCTATTATGTGGCAGCCTGTTCATATCAGATTAGAGTCTGTGGGTAGCAAACACAGATGTCAGTAAATCTGAGTAAAATGCAGCCTTTGTTTTTTCCCGTGCAAATGTGCTGCACGAAGCACAGACGTTAGGGGTAATTTCTAAATCACATGAAGTCCCCTGGGGATACTAATCCTGTAGGAATGGGGCTTTACTCTGTGATTCCCACACCAACTGTATTCTCATGGTTAAAATATATATATATATCTTTGGATTATGTTTAGCCCCTGCCCCAAAAGTGCATTGTTGTAATCCTACTGGTCAGAAAGGTCACAGAAAATTATCGTCTTTTTTATATACTCCTATTGTAAAGATGGATTCTGCATAATGACCCCCCCCCCTCCCATCAGTGGAGAATGATGTTCAGAAGCAGAAGTCCTCATTGTTTGCAATAAACCCCTCTCTAGCTCCTTTAATGATGTTAGAAAGGTTACTTGGGGCTTCCTGCAGAGCTCCACACGAGCACGACTTCTTAAAGAAAGTGGAGGCTCTTTCTCTCCCGAAAACTCGATTATTTATTATTGTGGAAATGCCTCTGGCTGTCCTTTCAGAAGCTTTCCCTGGGCTCATTTCGCTGCAGACATCCAGCTGTAAACCTTCCCCATCTGCGTGCACTCAGAGGACCCTGCAGAGGGAGGTGTCACACGTGCTGCGAGAGTATACGTGGAAACCGAAGCGCCGCTTTCGCCTGTGGATGCTAATTTTTCTTCTCTGCATTTCCCTGCCAGTGACCTGTCCAGTAGACAAAACTCCCACACACCCACACTCAGAGTCAGGGAAACGCTCTTCCTGTAGAGCAGCACGGCTCAGATTAGATGCCGTGGCTTTTTGGCTCCGGTGTCTTGCATATAAAGTCCTGCAGTGGTCTGTCTTATGATTATGTCAGGTCTCAGTGTGTGTGGACAGCTGGGTGAGGGTAAAATTTGGGCTTTTACCTTTGAATTTCCAAACACATTCCTTCTAAAATGACTTTTCCAGTCAGTTATTATCTGTAAACAGAAGACATCCACACTGATTGTCTCCGTTCCAAGGCTTCTGCTTTCTTTCATCAAAGCCAGGGAGCGCTTGGAGAAAGAAAAGTGACAGCAAAAGAAAGCACAGTTGTAGTCGTTGGCTTGAAGTCTTGTATCACATAACGGTGGCCTGTGGAGAGCTTTCCGCTGTGAAAAAGATACTCGGAGCTTTAATGTGTAGTGTTTATGAAGCATTAAGGAAAGAAAAGTATGCTTTGATGACAGAGCGGATGGTTTATTCTACGCATATTTTGTACACAGCAGGGTACCCAAAGTGGTATCCAACTTCTTTTGCTCTGGGAGTAAGATGATAAATGTAAGACTTTTGCAGAGAGAGTTTGGTGCCTTGGAATAGTGGAAAGTATGGGAATGGCCTCATGTGCCAGGAATTTACTCTAAGTCTAAATATTAAGACTGTATAAGTGAGTGAAGGAGTGCCTTAAAGGCGTTTTATATTTATGTTGTAAGCTTGCTATCTGCAGTCTTTCTAATGGCCAGCAGGGGGTGACTGCTCTGGTTGGGGAAAAGTGTCGATTGTATAGAAGTCTATGAGAAAATGCTCCTACTCATCACTCGATCTATGACCTCAGTAGACAGGCTCATGGTGAGGTCATGGTCTCATTTACTGGTTTTAAGATTCATTTCATTCAGTATGATGTTTATTTTGTCATTTATGGTCCAATATAGAGTAAAATAGACAGAGTACACTTTGTCCTTTCACTGCTTTGTTATTGACAAGGTGCAGTTACGCATGTGTGCAGCGTCCTTTGGTTTCTGAGTGAAATCACTCGTGACCTTGAAGACCTTGGTGTATGTAAGCCAAATTTAAATGACAGTTAAAGATGACCAAAGGCTACACCCCTGTAACGTTTTACTAGGATACATTCAGAACTTTTCAAACTATTGTGTTATTGTGTTTTGCTTTTCGTATTTTTAATTTTATGCTCCTGTCATACTGAAAAATCTTATCTGAGAAATCCAAAGTTAAGTGTTAAAGTGGGGTTTGCTTACATGTGTCTGGAGGCTGGTTAACACTCCTGACACACCACTCACGCATCCAAAAACAGAGGTCTGAACTGTCTTTCATTCCTCAAACCTCAAACTATCCTTACAACCTGTTGCTGACTTTTTCAAGAAAACACCGCCTGAAATCTGCCATGACACACTAAAGTACTGAAGGACATTTCATAAGTTTGGCTTAGTGGTTCCAGGATTAGTTTTGATCCACAGAAGCTAAATTGAGTCGAGCAGGATACCCTACCGTGCTGAACACGCCAAAACCACCAGTTACAGGCTCGTGATCTCCTACGAGTTTCTTTCACAAAACATCCCTGCGGAGATTTATTTATTTATTCCTCCCTTTTTTTCCACTCAACCACCATAAATAGCGGCGATGGGTAGAAGGAAATGTTGCCATGGCGACACAGCGCCGTGGCAGCCGGTAATTATTCTGGTTTAAGTGCCAGCGCGAGCCGCGGGCGAGCTGGCACGCAGCGGCAGATAGTGACACCTGGACACGAGCCTCTCAGGCGAGGTCAGATACGGCGTCTGTGAGGTAACTGTCCCAGGGGACCCCAAAGCATTCGGACTATTTTTAAGTCATTTCAAGCAAAATCAGAGTGTATAACTGAACCTGCACCCTGTACGTGTACAATGTAAAATACTGCAGTGCATACTGCGCACGTTACATGTTATGGGACACAGTTGAGTGATGATGTCACCTGGTTATTATCTTCTCGGTTACATGGGCTGACTGATCAATACATCGCATGTGTGAAAGATGCTGTGCTTATTGTGTGTACTGCATACAGCTAGTGTGTGTTTGTGCATGAGAGGTTGCAAGCAGCCTGTTGTCCAATATGTATTTGCTATGGGCATTAAAAAACAAACACTCAATAGCCTCGCTGCTCTCCCACTCACATGCCTGCCCAGCCTACATCTGTGCACGCACACACACTCGCAGGACAACACCACCCTCCAATGATAACATTAACTCATCTAACCCCCCCTTTTTTGTTATCTGCTCTCTTCCAGGCAAGGCCGACCTGACTAATCATCCAAGGTGTCAAGGTAAGGCTTTGTTAAGTCTGTTGGTGTCTCGTACCAGGCGCACCTGTGTGTTTTTGTACAGGGATAAACACAATCGGCTTTCTGACAAAGGCGGGAATTCCTCAGCGTCTTCTTGAAGAAGACGAAGGCGAAATTAAAACTGCGCTCTGCAGCTCCATCTGATTTGCAAACAAAACTTCCATGCTGCTCGAATACGACGAGTGCTACATCAGCTCCCACACTCCCCAGTCACATTAGCATAGGCGAGCAGAGAGACACAATGGAGTTTTTCACCGCCGGCACAGAGTACACACATTCTTCGCACACACACACATACACTCCAGACAGGAGTTTGGCTCCTGCGCTCTCCAAGAAAAAAGACGAGGGAAGATAGGTTGTCATGTTTTTGTCACTGCCACTTGCCACCAGGTCTGCTTTAGCTCTCTGTTGTGCTGTGACTGAAAGGAGAAAGAGTGTGTGCGGTTTATTTTCGCTCCCATTTTTCATTGTGCGGTTTCACTCCCTCTCCACACTGTCTGCCCTGAACTATTTCTCCATCTTAGTCACGGGAGTGCACGACATCCCCTCCCTGCACACACACAGTGGGATACAAACCACCCTCTCCACATTTATTTATTTTTATTATTTTAGGCTCACAATCCCTCCCCACCCTTTTGTGACTCACCCGCAGCTCCACACAGCCCCCATAAATCATCCGTGATAAAATCAGGGGTTCCATCAGTTCAGCTAAACCCAACTTTAGCTGTTAGACGGAGACGTGATGAGGTTTCTGATGCTGTGCGCAGAGCCCAGACACCAGTTGTTGGAGGCACTGTTGTGAGGGCCACTGCAGCAGACTGAGGCAGATCGCTGTCTGCACTGCGGTCTCACACTGCTCGCTTCTGCCACCTGCTGGTCATGTCTAGTCAGTGTGTGCAGTTCAAATATTTATAAGGAATGTTAAAAGAATCTAAATGAATTAGCCAAAAACAGCAATTCATTTATTGTAGTATGCGTCTCTGTAGTTGGAGCTTCACAGGTGTCCAAGACACAAAACAGCTAATGCACCTGGTGTCCTCTGTTCCACTAGGCGTTGGTGTAGTAGCTTATTTAAAGTCACTCTCACAGATAATTAAGAAAATAGTCCAGTAGTTTACATGTGCATTTCAATGTACCAATGTGCCAATCTCATGACAGCAACTCAGTGCATTTAGATGTGTAAACAAGACGACCGGCTGAAGTTCAAACTGAGCATCACAATGGGGGAAAAAAGTAATGTCAGTGACGCTGATTGTGACATGGTTGTTGGTCTGAGTGTTTCATAAATTGCTGATCTATCAACCACCTCTAGGGTTTATAGAGAATGGTCTGAAAAAGAGAAAATAACCAGTTAATGGCAGATCTGCGGGAGGAAATGCCTCCAGAGTAATCAGATTGCAGTCCGATAGAGCCTCTTTGGGATCAGGTGGAACAGGAGATTCTCGTCGTGGATGTGCAGCCGACAAATCTGCAGCAACTGTGTGAAGCTCTCATGTCAACATGGACCAAAATCTTGTTGAATCTATACATGAAGAACTGGGACAGCTGACCTGTGCAGTCAAAGTGACAAAACAAAAGCAAGTGTAGAGGTTTGGTACCAAAGAAAGCCAAACATATTTTTACATTTTAGAGCTGATATTAAAGGAGTTTCGACGAGATTTGAGATGAAAACATTTCCTACAGCGTGCTGGGCAGCATAGCCAGGAAATATGGAGGTTTTCCTCTATTAAGGTGTGTCATTTCTTTGAAAAGCATAAGCAATGTTGAATATTTTTAGGGTGTGTATCATAATCACCTTCCATTACATCACGCAATAACAAGGAAATAATCCTCAGATGGTGACTGTTGCTGAACATGACAATGAGTTCACTGTATTCACATGGCTTCCCACAGGCACCAGATCTCAGTCTAATAGAGCACCTTTGGGATGTGGTGGAGTGGGAGATTCCCATCATGGATATACAAATGTGCAGCTGTGTGATGCCATCATGTTAACATGGACCAAACACTGAGAAGTGTTTCTAGCACATTGTTGAAGAAAAAAAAGGAGGTTCCAACCCAGTAGTGGCAAAGTGTCCCTTTTTTAGCTTTTCAAATCTAAAGTTACACATTTTCACTCTATTTTATTAAAAAAAAGAAAAGAAGAAGAAGTCACCCAGTGGACACTTGGCGAAGCAGTTTTTTGCCCGCAGGTCATATTTTGGAAAACTTCAGATTTCTTTATAATAGCAAACAATAAAAAGTCATTATTTCTGTTTCTGTCTGCATTGGAGTCAACCTGGGTTTGAAAGATTCATAAGGTGTTTATAAACAGTGATTGTCTGACGAGCATGATTCGCCTTTAGGTTTCCATGATAGAGCTTTAAGGTGGCTGCTGAATTCAAATTCTCCTCTCAGTATGTTTTCCTAACAAACAGAGCACAGCTTGCACGGTTTGGCTGACTGTATCCTTCAGTAAACGTTGCTCCTCCTCAGCCAACGGCGATCTCTCAGTATGTGCTGAAAAGTTAAAAAAAAAAAACGCTGCACAAGTTTTTTTTCACATTTAAAAACATAAAAAAATCTACAATATACGTCATTCCTGGTAAAACTGTAAAAAATAAATAGTTTTGTTTCCGTTTAAATGTGATTGTAATTTCACATCTACAAAAAAAGTTTTATTTTTCTCGTGTTTCCCCAGCTGGTACCAGTCCGATGTCCTCTTCCCCCACAGTGTGATGTGCCATGGCTCCGGTGCTGAGTGGAGTGTGGTGGGGGCCGGAGGCAGGCGTCATCGGGTCGGGGACGGCAGCTTCTACTGGTGTGGCGTCGTGGCTGGGGAGCGGGCAGCTGATCTTGATCGTCACCCTCAGCATCCTCACCGCTTTGCTGCTGGTGTCGGTGCTGCTGCTGCTCTGCGCTAGCTGCCAGGGGTGAGCGCCATCACCAAGCAAACACACCCATATATGCCGTGTACTGGTGTTATTGTCATCGCTGTTAGGGCACGCTCACATATCAAAAAAAGCTTCACTTCCTGCTGTGTCAGCTATCCAAAGCAGATCTGCTCTGCTGGGAAATGCAGACAGTGCACAAATACCTGAGAGGCCGTTCTTAGCTACAGTAATTATAGGTACAGCAACAGTACAGAGCAGTGCTGCTGAGTAACACTAAAAATGCCCTCTAGGGTAGTAGGCCATAATTATTTAATTAATAATTATGAATGGAAGCATGTGCTGTCTCTAAGCAGCCGTACACACTCCCTTCTATCTCTATATATAAAAGAGAAACACGTTTCCTTGTCATTTAACTTTCCTTTCGTGTAATCCCCGTAAAGAGCTGATGCAAGCAGACTCCAAATAAAGCAGCACAACTGAAACTAAAAGTTAATTTGACCGACTTAACGACCCAGCGCGTAATGAAGATTTAATGTTAACGAGTCTAAGCTGCGAACTTCGCTATAGTGCGTAAAGCTTTGTTTTGTCTCATTGGGATTGCACTGAAGTAATGGCTAAGAGATTAATGAGGCATTTACTTTGCGGCGTGACGTGACGGGCTGTATATTCAACACAAACGCCCACCTCTTACGCAGCGGTTCCAACGTGTGGGATTGTAATTGTTTTTATATGTAGCCCCCAGGAGCTAAGAGAAATGAGTTTTTCTTCGTCCTGCAGAGAGCTGAGTTGAATGTTAATGTCCCGCAGGGAGACGTTTGGCAGGCGGCCGGTTTTGAAGTTTTCAGATTTGCAGAGGTAAATAAAGAAGATGTCACTTTTCTTCTCATGTAGATGAGAGCAGAACATTCGAAACAAGTATAATGCAGTTAGATATGCATTAGCTCGCTGCAGCCTCTTTTATGACATAAAGTCAAATTTGATTAACCCGTGAATGAAAAACTAAGTGTCACAGCAGCATGAAAGCAGTGTTGCACATGCATACAGTCATTATTTGTCCCTCGACATAGCTCCTCCTCCTTTAGAGCAACTTCTTCATCTGATTAGAACAGGAGTTTGGAGGTGGAGCTAAAGATAGACAGTTGTCTATCTTTAGATGCCCACAGTTAGATTATCTGTTCTCAGTGACATCACAGAGAGCCAGAGTAGAACAAAAATGTCTGAAATGGAGTGTTTCTGAGCAGGCTGAAGGCTGAGCCTCACAGGGTTTACCTGCTCACAGCAGGTCTGCCTTAACCTCCTAGGACCTGGCCTCCACATATATGGACATCACATTTTGGGTTGTCTAGACCAATATACTAAATTTTGCCACTGATGAGGACATTATACTGCCACTGTTTTATCGAAATTTAAAACAGATGTCCCCTTATGTGGATCTTATTTTTCTCAGAAACAAAAAAAATCAGGTAATTCTTTGTTTTTACATTCATCAGGTCCCAATCAGCCCAAATAGCAAAGAGAAATTTATAAAGCCATTCCATGAAAGAGTTCAGGTTTTAGGAGGTTAAAGCGGACGTGTCTGAAGGAATGTAATATTTATTAGTGATGGTTATTATTACATTTTACTGATCCCAGTTCAGTTGTTTTTGTTTGAATGTTTGATGTAATTTTAGATTACTCTAACAGAAGAAAAAGGAGTGCTATTTAAAAAAGCTATAAAGCAACAAATGTAATAAATAAAACTCATATTTGCAAATTAATATTTGATTTCTGTGTTTTTTTTAATTTGTCAGAAGATTCAAGATTAGAATTTTCTTGGATTTATTTGATGGTTGGGTTGAAACCATAATATGTGGAAGAGTTGTACAATTATAAAACAGGTTTTTGGTCCCTAATCTGGAGGCACGCTTTGCTTTCACAGTTCTTTGCATGCACAGCTGAGCCCCCATGTTTAGCTGTGCAGGCTGCTCTAACACTTGATGTGTTGCTCTGTTTTCTCATCTCTCCTTTCTTCTTCTCTTCAGGCAGAAGAAAGCGGTGAATGGACACCCAGCGGGAGATCATCAGAGCCTGGTGAATGGAGTGAGTTTTTCCTTCAGGTTTCCACAGCCTTTTCTCTCAATATATCAAAGCTACAGTCCTGAAGAGGAATGAAATAATAATGTTTTATTTGTTTATTTTTAATAGCAAGGATGCATACTAACACTGTTACATTTTTAAAAAGTCAAGCGGTGTGTATGCAGGACTTCAAGGCACAGTTTATTTGCAAAACCTGTCTGTGGTTTGGTTTTTAATCTGCAAGGTCCATTATTTTAGCCTTAACATAGGAAGCTCTAAGGCAGATATTTGAGGTCTGTGGGTATTACCTCTGAAAGACAACTAATCAAAAATGGTTTCACACTTTGCTGTTTTGCAGCACCAGCTAACACCAACCCCCTGGGGGAGGGGGTTAATGACAGTGAATGAAAAGTTGATAAAGTTTGTTTTTGTTAAATGAATTCAGGCAGGCGTGTCTCTATGATGTTCGCAGACGGCATTGGGGTCTGTAAGAGTAGGGGGCAGGTGGAAGAGAGATGAGGGTTTGGAGACAAAGTTTAGATGATTTGGATGAGATGATGCTGAATATGGAGCTCACAGGCAGGAGGAAAACAAGACCGCAGAGGAGATTCATGAATGTAGTGAAGGACATGCAGAGGGCTGGTGTGACAGGGGAGGAAACTGGGGATAGGGTGCCGATGCGCTGTGGCGACCCCTAACGGGAGCAGCTGAAAGAAGAACAAGTAGAGCGAACAGCTGAATGTTTTCAGGCTTAATCATAGTGTGATTACACTCATACACTGACATGCACATTTTTTTGCATAAACAAATATTTTCTCTAAACATAATTGTTTTTTTAAAAGATACATCAGGTCAGATTTCAGGACGTTTAAGAAACCGTCAGCTCTTGCAGTCAAAGATCAGCCATTTGGTTTAAACTCTGTCAAAATATCGACTCAGAGCCTTAAACAAAAGCACCCACGCATACTCTTCTCATTAGTCCAAGTGTGGGAGAGTGTGTATCTTTAGTCAGGCGCTGGAGCGATCGGCAAGTGGAGCTGTGGATAGAGTTTAGCTGCGTGCCTCCTCAGTAACACACGCGTGCACACTGACACACATCTCCGCCCTTACGTGGCGTCCTGTGACACTAGAACACACCTTCCGACTCTTTGCGTCGTAACCCACGTCGATCATGCTGACACAGAAACATACGGAGAACAAAGCCTCCCTGCGTACGGCTGATTGACAGCCTCCAGTTGTTAGCGAGAGGTTGTTTCTGAACGGCTCACGGCTGCCAACGGGGAAGTGGTTTCTCCCGCTAAGAAAACACGTGGGAAACTCCACTGCCTGCTCGTCACATGTCACTTATTTTAATGTCGTGCTGCCTTAAAACAGAAATAAGAGGGATACTATTAAGAAAAACAAACGATTATTATTATTTGTAGAGTTGACCTTTTACCCCGTGCTATGCGACGCTCATAATGATGCGTGGCGAACGTCCGCTATGTCCTTTTGAAGATTGTGCAATGGGCAGAGGTAGTCATTACAAACTACTATAATATTGATGCTTCAGTAACCAAGCACCACTTAAGTGTGACAAATGTCGAGCTTTCACAGGTTAAGTGACATCCACTTACTTTCTTATTCTGACTTCCCCTCTGGGGGTTTGTGTGTTTGTGTGTGTGTGTGTGTGTGTGTGTGTGTGTTCTTCAGAGCCTTTTTGCATTTGATTGATATCTTCACTGCAACCTTTAAGCATTAGCCCAATTGCCAGGTGATCAAATTGTTTCAAGAGGGACCCATTTGTACGACGGACCGTGTCGTAGCCTGACAGGTTAAATGGGGGTTTTTTGTCTTCGTGGTTGAGTAGATTAACTCTTCCTCACTGAGCTGCAATCTGTCTGTCTCTCCTGCAGCCAGCATCAGTGAACGCTGTCCCTCCTGTTTCTCCCCATCGTTAGAGAGTTCAGGTGTTTTAAACTCACAGGGTGCAGATTAACCAAAATTAGTATTTAAGTCAGTTTAGATACAGGAAGCACCCCGTGGTGGTCCGTCAGAAGCAGGGCAAAGTGATCCGTTTTGTTCTAAGATCATTAAAGACCAGCCTCTGTGATTGTTTAGCAGTTGCTCAATCAGTTTGATCACAAATGCAAAGAGTGTCTGCGACACAGTGTAGGACAAACACATCAACAGGTTCAATCTGTTCAGTTGCTGATTAATGCAAATATCTAATCAAGCAGTCACATTACAGCAAGGCAGCAAGCCGAGACGACCTGCTGAAGTTCAAACTGAGCATCAGAATGAGGAAGAAAGAGTTCAGTGACTTTGGCATGATTGTCGGTTTCAGACGTGCTGGTCTGAGTATTTCTGAAACTGCCGATCAGCGGGGATTTTCCCACACAACCATCTCTAGAGTTTACAGAAGATGGTGATGAGAGTGAGTCCTCTGGGTCGATGCCTGAGGTCAGAGGAGAATGGCCGCTTCATATCTTACAACAAAGGGATGCTGAAAACCATCTCTAAACACACAACACACCACGCTGAGTGTACGTTACTCAGCTGACAAAAGGAAAACGAGGCTCACCCAAATTGGAGAGTAGAAGATTGGAAAAACATTACCTGGTTTTATAAGACTCTGTAGCTGATGTGATACTCGGATGGTAGGGTCAGAATAAGGTGAAAACAATGTTGTTTCAACATTTCAGGCTGGTGATACAATGATGCAATGTGGTGTAATATTTTCCTGGGACACATTGTAGTACCGGCTGAGGATTGATTAAACACCGCAGCCTACCTGAGTGTCGTTGCTGACCTTGTCCATCTCTTTATGACCACAGTTAGCTTCTGTTGGCTGCTTCCAGCAGGATAACAGCATGTCACAAATCTCACATCATCTCAAACTGGTTTCTTGACGCTGGAACCAGTGCAACGGGAGATTCACGTCACAGATGTACAGCAAACAAGTCCAACCAAAACCTCTGAGGAATGTTTCCAGCACCTTGTTGAATCTGTGCTGTCAATACTTTGTGTCACTCAGATTTTTTACAGTTAGTGACCTACAAAAAAATAATTTGACACACCAGCAAGGAGATGTTAATGTTAGCTGTGTTGAAACTGTAAAAGAATGTGAATGTCTGGGGAGAGCAATTAATGAGACATTGTCATGGGATTGTAACAGAATTTGCAAAAAAAGAGAGTTACAGTGATTATCGTCCTTGACGGCTTGGATCAGAGTGACGCTGGTTCTTGTTTAGCTTTCATTTTTGGAGAGTATTATAACTTTATGCTTTATTTTACGCTTCTTTTGTCACTGCCTGGGGTTAATAAGAACAAAGATGACATGTCCGAGTCACAAAACAGCGTCACACTCCTCTGTGATTCCTGAGTGGTGGTGAAGTTGTGAGCTATTGCATCTGTGGTGTACACAAGATATTCTCATTGGGACGGATGACACAAGATTAATGGACTATAAAAAGAAAGATGGATGTAACGTGTGCCTAAATCACGAAACGACAGCATAAAATTAGTGGTTTCATAAAACAGCTAAAGATTACGTCATTGGCACCGACAGCTATGAGAGTGCGTGACCACTAGGTGGAGTTATGGAGCTTCTGATGCATGTCCCTCTGCTCACACAAGGAAAAACAGCAAACCCCAGACAAAGAGCAGTCTTGGCGTGCACTCTTTGAAAGGTTTTGACTTTCTCTGCTCTCTCATTAGTGACTGACTGAGCAATCGTCGTGGAAACTAAAGCATTACAGTTTATGCATGAAGTGCATGTTGATAAATCGTCCTCTGTTAATTACTAGTTTCTTCTCACTGTTGATCTGAGTGTTTGCTCACTCTCAGAGTTGATTCTGCTCAGCTTAGGCTGATAAAACAGGAAACTTGAGCTTTTTTTAAACCCTTCTTCTTCTTCTTCTTCTTCTTCTTCTTCTTCTTCTTCTTCTGCTCTTTTTGTACTGTGCTAGTTGAGTTAGAGATGCAGATTTTTTTCCATGCTTATATGATGTTGCAAGCACAGAAACTGTCAGAGCATGGTTTAAACCCGACTGCAACACAACTGACTCCCTGCCAGCTTCACAGCTGTTGTTCTTTAGCCTCCTATTGAGACAAGCAGAGAGACAAATTACCCTGTGGATATCCTTAAGGTAGCGTCTTCCTATTGTTATTATAATTATTAATGTGACACTACAGACGCCGTCCTTTTACCCTGTTCGGCTTGATGTGTTGCTTATGCTTGATTCAATTTTAGTGCCTCTTATAAATGAATTAATATGAAATCAGCTGCATAAAACAAGAGCTGCCTGTTACTCATACTCGCAGAAGCTGTTAGCTGTCTTTAGATGTCTTTTCTTGGTAGGTAAAAATAAGCTACACTTAATTAGGAATGCATAACGGTTTTATAATTACCTTAAAGTAATAAATAATGTGTTTGGAAAAGCTTAGAAGAAGCGAGATAAAGAGTCAGGAAAGCATGAAAATTTAAATTTGGGCTTCAAGGATCCTGAAGGTAATGCACCGCACATATGGCTTTTCGATTGCGCGGAGGTGTGACGGATGTCCATCCCGTGCAACATAAGGAAGATGTGCAAATTCATTTCTGTAGGTTTTTGTCATTTAAAGAATCTGAGACTGAGGTTTTACCTGCTTGAAGCCTCCAAGCCTGCGAGCTGTGGTGCAGCAGTGACAAAGAGCTTATCCTTTGTTGTGCAGGTTTCAGAGAGAGACATCAGCCAATCAGCAGACAGTCCAGCAACTGACGCGGCGGTCAGCACCTCTTACAATGGGCCTCTCACCAGCGGTACAAGTAAGCCGATAGAGTTCCTCTCAGCTCGTCATGTCCTGCCATTGTTGTCTGCGTAGTTAATATTTAGACCGCGTGATACGACATCCATGCAGTGTGTTTTTTCCTGACACGTGATGGCTGTTATGAAGCGTGTTTGCTGGTCAGCTTTGGTTCGTGTTATAGTCAATGTTAAATGCAGTCGTAAAAAGATGCTGTTTCCTCCTCGCCCTGACTCTTTTCTTCTTCCCTCCAGTTCTCACGGACACACAGGACACCAGTCCCCAGTTGTCAGAGGAGATGCTCTCCAGCCAATCAGAGCTCAGGTCCTCCAAGTGCCCTCAGGACCGCGAGCTTCCCAGCATCCCTCCCAACAACGCCCTTATCGGGAACGGACCCCCACCCTCAGGAGACAGCACTTATGAGGTCAGTGTTTAAAAGTCACCTTTAAACAGCAGAACGATGGTTTTTTTTCTTTACTCATAGTAAGTTCGGACATGCTCACTGGAGGAGATTAAAGCTTGTAATGTTGAATGCTGCTTGACTGAGTAAATGACTGATTGATTGATTACGCCTAGGGATCTTTTCACAAGTGGCTGGTGAATTGAGTGATTTTCGAGCCAGGAGGCAGAAACATCAAAAAGTTATTTCTTGTTTTTGAATGCACGTAAGACCAGTGTGTGTTTCTGATGTTAAGGTGGTGAAGGAGATGGCCGTGGCCTCACGTGACGTCAGTGCCGATGAATCCCTGTACGAGACGGTCAAGGAGCTCAAAGACGGTCCTGCAGAGGCTGGCCTCCTAAACGGTACCATCCAGCCGAGTCCAGACGAACCTCCGCCTCATCCTCCCGCTCTTCTTAACGGCCACATCAGCCCAAGCACACCTGAGCGGGGGCCCATCTTTGCCGGGGCGGAGTACGCCTCTGTCAACCTGAATAAGAAGAGCCGTCACAGCGCAGACATGGAGGCCAAAAGGCGCTCTGGTAATGCTGCCGTTCCTCAACAAAAGCCTCAGGAGGAGCCAGAGGAGGATTTACCGCCACCGGTACCGGAGAAGGTTCTGGATGAAAATGACAACCAGCCAGCGCTGATGATGAACGGGCTCGCGGAGGCTGGGCTGCACAATGGAGAGGTAAGCTTGTTTGTGTGCGTGTCTCTAGGAGTTCTTTGGAGATTTTTTTTGAGTGACTATAGGGTACTGTGGGTGTGTGTGTGTGCGTGTGTTTCTACTTGTTTAAACATCTTTGTGAGGACCAAAAATTGACATGCCACTATAGTTGTGTCTCACAAATTTGAAGGCATTTTTGAGGTTAGAGAAAGCATTATGTCAGTTTGATGACTTCACTAAGGCATGCTCCAGATTTCACGATGCCATCAAACACCTGTTTCAATGTAAAAACGAACGCAAACCAAGTCTACAGTCACACTGGCGGAAACACTGGTTAGAGACCACAGCGCCACCAACATTGCTGTGAACATGTGCAATCAGCTCATGATCTTTATGCCTTTGAAGTAGAATAACACTGAAACGGGGTCGTGGTCTGAAACTACTACTACTACTAGAGTGAATTGGCGTCCTCAAACCGTCTTTGGCGCATCAAGACGGCAATAAAATGGGAGAAACAGCAATAAGACGGAGTCAGTCTGCGGTCAGTTTTTGAGTGAGTGAGGTCAAGTTGGCAGTTACATTAATCTGTTTGCAGTAATGCGGCAATTAACTGTGATACATTGCAAATCTTTTGCCGTCTGTTACAAATCTGTTGCCGTCTGCATCGTGCACAGTGCTGAGCCGAAGCTGGGATGGACTTGATCCGCACATCAGGTGTGGCTCCCTCAGCCAGCAAACAGACACGGCTGATCTACTGCATTAATGTTTAGTGTTCTAGTAAGGGTGGGGGGGGGACCTCTCATTTATCTGAAATATAAATGAGAGGTCTTTCTGATCTTGTGTACTAAAGGCTCATAAATATTCTATAAACGTTGCAGTGACAGCAGTAATGAATACTGTAACAGATTTCAAAGTATTTATGGGACTTAAATGCATCTTACATTTGTTGATCTATGTGAAGCTGGCAGGGTTGAATTTGTCTCCAAACCCTACGTGGGCATCAATATGTGTAGTTTTCGACATTTGTACGCACAGAAAGGTTTTTGAAAGGTAAAATTATTAGATTGATGAGGAGAACTTAATAAATTGTGCATAAATGATTCGTATTTATTCAGGTTTGGATGTGTGCATGTGTAAAATAATTGCATCGTTTTTGTGCATGGAATGAAGCATGCTCGTGTGAGTTACGCACAAATCACCGAACGTGGTTGGAAATCTTAGTTTCTACTTGATATGACATCGTACACATTTTCAACACTTTTGAGGCAAATTTCTCTCCGTATACTTACATACAGATGTGAAAAGGTAACGTTATGCGTTTTTGTGAATGGATCATAATTTGGTTTTATTTCTACTAAAAAAAACAACAACTTTAAAACAAGAACTGAAAACAAACATTTTTGATGAAATTTGGATAAATTCCATTTTCCAATCCATTAACCATAACTAAGGGGACGCTAGATGATTCCACACACTCTGAATCAACCAGCAACCAAAGATGGTGCTCGTGGGTGTGCTTATTAGCTTATGTTTGTGAGAAAGCCCCACGTGAATTGTAAGTAAGGTCTCATTTATGCTGTGCTGCATGTAGGAGCGTTCCAGTGATTGAATATTTGTACTGTATAACCGCAGTTGCTTATTACAGGCGGCGTCTGATTAAAGAGCGAGCAGTTTTATTAGAGTCAACTTTCATTCAATGTGTCATCGTGAGCGAGAGGAAGCGTGGCAGGAAAGAAGAAAAGTAACCTGTGACGACGGGGAAAATGAGCATTAGTCAGATGATGAAACTATATGACAGGGAAAGTAATTTTTCAATTTCCCTTGGCATAAAATACTCAGATTGGTTAAAAACTATGAATCCATTCTCGACCATCTTGACAAAACACTGCTTTGAAAAGAAAGTGATAGTGATAGTATTTCATTCGTATTCGCTATAATGCATTCAGAGTGAGAGCATGAGGGTGTTTAAAGGCCAGGGAGGACAGGTTACATGGAGGGGAGGAATGAAGCAGCTATTGTTGTTAAGATTATGTAGAATGAAACAAAAAAGAAAAATACAGCAATGCAATGCAGTTCTAGACATTATAGTAAAAAAACGTTTGTCGTTTAGAGCGCTTAACAAACTTATTAGATCACCTTTAAGTTTTACAAATCACCTTTAAGTTTTACAAAATTGTTTAAATGTGTTTTTTTTTTGTAGACATAAAAAAATTTTCTGTTCAGGGATGTAAGTAGAAAAAAAAAAAAGTACTTTAACATTTTTTACTTTTTTGTAAAACAGCACATTTGAAAATTCATGGATAACAATAATTCTATTGTCGCATTAAAAACATAATGTTAAAATATAAAATATAATGCTAAAATAACACTGAAAATTACGTTTTTTTGTAAAGTGGTCAATTTGAAAATTCTCAGCTAAAAACAATTATATTTTAATCAGAAAATCAAATCAAGTCCATTTTGATTAAATTAAGAAAACAATTTGGTAATTACCAATAATGTTAATTTTCATCAAGTGTGGCTCAAACCTTATATATTGAGTGGTGGTCTAATAAATTTGTTAAGCACTGGATGTCATAAAAAATTTTAAAAATATTTTACAACACCCAAATAAATCTCTGATACGATGATGTCACCCTAAAAATATAACATTGCATTTTACTGTCTTTTGTTTGATTCAGTCGTGCGGTCGAGAAAGACGTGTTCGCCGCTTCTCAGCTTCCACTGAGTGCGGTGCCCAGCGTGTGTTATGCGTCTCCTGCATGTAGATTTAATCAGCTAGAATCTGCATAATGAACATTGTTAATTTGATGGAACAGAGAAATGAAAAGCTTTTAATGGAACTGTGCAGGGAAAAAAGGGAGAAACTAAATTAATTTTTACATTTTTAACAACAAGAATAATAAGTAGAGTTGTAATTTTCAGTTACGCCGTGACCCTGGAGCTCTTAAACTGCAAACTGCTCTTAAACTTTTGTTAAATTAGCAGATATCACATAAATGGGTAAGAGCAGTAGAAGTGGGTAGCATCATGGCACTTGATGCACCACCCAAAAAATGTTGCACTGCTACTGAACGGGATGCCGAGGTTTTTTCTCGAAGCACAACAACCACAAACACAGCAAAGCTTCTCTTGAGCAAATGGGCTTTAATTGTGGCATTATTCCACGAGGAAAAACGGAACGTTGTTGGAAAAAGTTGAGTCAGTTTAGTCTTAATATAAGATTTCCATTTGACAAACCCACACGCATAAAAAGGCCGAAACTTATCATCCTACGGTAATGATAGGAATTCACTCTTTCATTCTCCCCATCTTAATAACGCAATTTATACCAATATATAGCTGATGTCGGTCATCTTCTCAACATCATGCCTGGCTTGAGATAAAGACCACGGAGAAGAAAGAAAAAGAGAGATGTGTCTCTCCGCTACAATTATTATCCGCTAAGCTGACATCTCGTGCTGCTTTATGGAGACTGGCAGACCGAAGAAAGAAATTTGATGGTGAGAAGGGAAAAAAAACCACAAAAAAACACGGTGTGGGAGTGAAGGGAGGAGAGAAAAAAATGAAAATGGGAGCCGAAGTGAGAAGAGCAGGAGAGAGTAATAGATGAAATGGAGATAGTGACAGAGAGATGATGGGAGACTTGAAAAAACTCGGAAAGGACTGGCAGGCATGACGGGTGAGGAGGAAAGAGAGGAGTGAGAGACAAGGAGGGGAAAAAAAGAAAGAAAGAAAGCCAGGAGCATACAAATGAAGTCATCGACAAGGAGGCGGCGAGAAAAAAAGGATGAGGGAGAAGAAAACTGCTACAGAGGGTGAGATGTGGAGATGTGTAGAAGAAGAGATGGAGGAAGAGTAAAAGAAAAGGTAAAAAGAGAAGCATAGCAGTTCATTATCATGGACTGAACAAGGCAGGGCAGAGCTGCTGCTGCTGCTGCTTACAGCATGCTGAGATCCATCAGAGAACCAACACACTCTCAGCTCAAAGAACTGCATCAGACAAAGAATCACATTATCAGCCTGCCACAGAGATCATCTCTTAACTTCAAGTACTTTTAAATTATACTTCTAATGTTACAGCACTTTTTACATACATTTGTTTACAGTGTTGTGCCAGTGTGCTGTCACCAGGGGGCAGTGTAAAAAGATATACGAGTTTGTGGTGTTGTTGGTCCATTGCATTTTGCACAGGTATTCTTGTTCCTCTTAAGATAAGTTAGCGTCAGGTCAATAACTTGCTTTACTTTCTAATTAAATACACTGATGCTCTGTTATGCTTTGTGTTTCTATTTAGTGAATATTTGCATGTTAGCCAACTAGATTAAAGTGGTTACAGCGGTAAACATTACAGTAACCAGTTAAACTAACCCTACACATTAAAAATGTGGGAGGGAGGTGCAGTACCCGGAGATGAGTGTTTCTGCCATCGCCATCTTGGTTGTAAAAAGACATCTGACTGCAACTTGTGACAGATAACTTATTAGCCAATGAGCGTGCAATATCATACTTCAGATAATCCTCCGTTTAAAATACAAACCAAGACCAAAACTTTCAAAATAGACTAAAATTTTTATTTAATATCATCGAAAATGAGTGGATGAAAGGAAATTCGAAAGGAAAGCGGATTAGCCTTTTATAGGAGTAAAAGTCTTTCTGCAACCACAGCTGTCGCCATCTGGTGGCCATCAGATAGAATGCAGGTTTGAGGCACCTCCACATTGGCTTTGCTTTTCCAACTCGGAAGATAAATCCATTTATTTATGTTTTTACTGTCCTTGCTTTAAATACGCTCTTTATGATAATCTGTCTGATTGCTCGTTTGTCTAACTGCTGCTTTCCTCTTAGTAATGTTGTAAGTTGTTGCAACAAATACAAATAACAGCACTAAGCAACAAGAAGACCCATGTTGTTATAAACCGGAACTATTCTGTATTTTTCTGAACTTTAGGTTTGGGTCCCTCTTTTCTGTGTTGATGTATCTTTTTACTTTATTCACACGTCTTTGTTCCTTTGTCTCTGGTGTTTTTGTAGCCAATTAGTTCATCACTGCGGCTCGTTTGGACAGCAGGCATGGCCTCGTCTAACCCCCATATCTGTGATAAAATCTTAATCTTCCAAATTCCAAATGTATCTTCACACAGCTCTGGAAACCATACACCCACACACACACACACACACACTTGCACATTTTTAAAATACACAGAATTTAACATCCACCCGCATATATATTAGTTTCCCCCATCCCCTCAAGTTAAACACACACACACACACACCAAACACACGTGCAGGTTTTATGATGTGTGTGTGTTTACATATATTCTGCTACGCATAGACACCCTGGGGCGTATTTAAGGTTAAGCATGAATGTTCTTGGCTCCCTGTGGTTTACGCCCATGTATGACCAGGAGTCGTCTGTGATTTGTCTTGTCTGACCAAGTGTGTGTGAGTGTGCGCGCGCCTAGTGAGCACCAGCTGGCCACCATCTCTACGACAGTTAGTCTGGCTTCATGATGGATGATATGGGCTATAGAAACTCTCTCTCCGTCTCTGTCTCTTACGCACACACACAGGCAATCTCAGAGGTGCATGAATGTAAATGTCTGAAAGGAATCCCCCCAGGTAGCAGCTCAGTAAATGCTGCTCTCTCTCACACACACACACACACACACTCACACACACAGTGGCACTTTTTTCTTATATGCAGTAAATTTCCATACACACACACACCTGCTTATTATTATTGTAATATTTGCTGCAGCTACACTGAAACACACGTCCGCAGCCTTTGTGACCTTTTCTTCGCGGCTTCTGTGATTGTGTGCACTGAACAGTGATTGAACTGCCATAAACAGCACTAACACTTGTTTGCAGTCATTTGCTTGTGTGTCGCCTGCAGGCTTTTCATGCAAGGTGCAGGAAATGAATTTGACCCAGCCTCTGGGCTGCCGGGGTATACATTGGGGGGGCACGGTCCAGGTGAACTGTGATATGTGGCGTGTCAGCACTGCTGAGCTGTTGCTAAAGAGAATCACTATTGATGGATTTTGTGGTATGGGAGAGAATATATATTAGTCTTAATGTAGTTTACAAGTTTGCGGCTGTACGCCATCGCAGTTGGTGGTAAACATCAAACAGTCAAGATGTGATTGAAGTGCAGACTTTCAGTTTTAATTGAAGTGCTCTCACAAAATTATTGCATTAACTTTTTAGGAATTTTAGCCATTTTTGTACATAGTACCCCATTTTCAAAGGCTCAACTGAAGCATTTTCAGTGTTGTGTGAAGGTTCTTAAAGTGTTAGCATAGCTGTTCAATGGAACTGTCAAAATGAGGTCTAATTACTTTGGTGTAGCATGAATGGCCATGGGGGTTCTCTTTATCAGTCGAGATAAAGCTGTAAACTTTGAAAATGCAGTTAAACGTCCAAAATTTATTCCCTTCTTTACATCCAGTAGGCTGGAATGGAATCTGATTCTAGTCCTCGGGCATCGTGTTTGACACCCCTGGTCTACAAGGTATGGAGAAACAGAGAGAGCTTAAAAGAGGTGCAAACCACTGGTTACACTCAAGAACATGAAGTCCAGCTTAGACTTTGCCCGCAATAAAAAATTCTTAGGACCAAATAGAGATGAACAAACATGCTGCAGACAATGTTATGGTATGAGCATGTATGGCTGCCTGTAAAACTGGGACACTGGTGTTTATTGATGATGTGAACGCTGATAGAAGCAGCAGGATGAATTGTGAAGTGTACAGGGCTATACTCCCTTATCAGATTCAGACAAATGCTGCTAAACTGATTGGAACATGCGTCACTGCAAAAATGGATAATGATTCAAAGTGAAGTGAAAAAGCAACCCAAAAGTTTCTCAAAGAAATGTGATACTCTTGAAGTCAGTCACCTGATTTGCTGCCCACTAAAGCAGCTTCTAAGTTACTGAAGGCAGAAAGACCCACAAACAAGTTGCAACTACAGGTGGCTGCAGAAATAAAAAGGCCTGCATTTAATGCATTTCTTTTGCTGAACCCCTTAAATTGAAGCTGAAGGTCTTCCTTCAAATTATATCTCAACTGTTCACAGAGGCAAAACCTAACCGTATGTACTTGACCAACTACATGCAACTCCAACACCCTGAACTGGTCTATTCATGCTCATATAATATATATGTGTCTTAACATGCGCGTCACTGTGACGGACACACTGACACCTGACTCGCCCATCCTCTGAGACAGCTATAATCAGCTTACAGTCAAACCTGTTGCCCCGTATATCACTGTGTCACCTACGTGCACATAAACAAGCTCCCATAATCCTCCCTTATACCCACAGACATAAGCATACCACCTTACTGCAGCACAGCAAAATATTAATCTGTCAGACGTAATGTCCTGATGTGTATCGACACAAAACAAGCACCCGTCCTGTCACGGTTCTTCGTTTAATAAAAGAAATGTTTCACGCGGACACAATCGAGTTTTTACGACTCAAATTTTAACACCCATCTGCAGTTTAGATGCTTGATGCGCGGCCGACTAAATGAAAAATTCCACTTTAATTTGCAGTAATACTTGAGGCGAGCTTCACATTAGATTAACAAACTTGGAGGTGCGGTGTCTGGGTCATGTCACCTACGTCCTTGTTCCGTGCAAACACTCCTCTGGGGGCATTCTGCCTAATTGGTTGGCTAATTAAAGTGAAACGTAAAGGGCGTGCGTCAGCTGCATCACGAGTGTATGTTGGATCTATAAAAGTAATCATGTCTCCAAACATGCATTAACCATAAAGTCATCATATTGATTTAAGTGCTTGGAGAAAACGCTGGAGAAACATGTGTCTGCATGAAGATACTCGGCTGTACAGCTGCGGTGGACAGTTTGATGGATGGGCTCCGAGCACAGGTTTTCATTCAGTACCTAACGTTGTAGCTCGCGTGAGGCATCGAGTGCTGTGCCTCAGCAGGGAGCACATTTCCCCTTTTTCTTTTTTAAGTGTATTACCGTTAACCTTGGATTGTCCAAGGACTACATCTGAATTTAAAAAAACCTAACAATATTTTCCCTTATTTTCCACTAGACATAAACTCTTTAGTCAGTGCTGGCGGGGTTATTGAGATTCTTATTAGGCTCCTGAGGTGTTTTGTGCTGCTGTCAGATGTGCTTTTTTGATTAATGGCCCTCTCATTGATCATAAGACGGAGTGGACAGAGACTGCACAAAAGCATCGCATTCTCCGTCGCTGCCTACCGACTTTCACTCCATTGTTTATTAATTTTTTTAATGAACGAGTGCCTGTTGCGAGCTGTAGCTTCGCGTGCTCGACTGTTTAAAGCGAAAATGCAGAGCGTGTTTTCCTCCCACTGCTGGGAACACTTTAGAATTTCACTATCGATCAGCTACCAGGCGTTCTTTCATACTCACGGTGCTTTTCTGCTGGGTACTGTTTCTGAGAACTTGTCGATAGTTTGCCAGCATGTTTTAATAATAAAGCTCGATATGAAGTCCACTATGTCTTCATTTGATTCCTTCAAAGGCGTTTGGATCAGCTCTGTTTGCTGTATTGGGTTTGCCTTGCTTTGATATATATTAAAAAGAGGTTTTTTTTTACATCTAAATTCCTGAAAATGAAAATGTGTAACATACCTTCAGATTCTTTTAACGGACGCTGTTGGGTGATTTAAGCAACCGTGGAAGCTTTTAAAACCTCACTCTTTTCCTTTTATACACCGACTCCCATATCTAAATGTTCTTTTTGTTTTTTTTGTTCTTTTCTCCTCCAGTTACACTCCCCTCCGTCTCCTGCACCGAAGTTCGACAACCACGTTCAGTCAGACAATGAGGTAAGTGTGTGTTAAACTCCCTTATTCCCAAAACTGACGTCTTCGGTCCCGAGACAGCAGCTCCTCTGCTGTGCGAATGCAAATGCTCCGAGCACCCGAGAAAAAAAAAATAGAACACAGTGGAAAAATAGTCAGATAACATCACACAATGTGCTTGGGGAGGGGGGGGACGTAGCAGGGGTCCTTGAGTATGAATGCGTCAGTGTTTTAACAATCTTATTATCTCCACTGTTGTGCCGTTTTTGACGTGCAGCTTTTTTGGCGATATTAGATGAGTAATAACCCAACTGAAGAAGAAGAAAAACAACACGATTGTGCCGTTAACCACAATTTGTGTCATTTTTGTCTTTCTCTCTCTCTCTCTGTGCCTTTCAGTCAGCGGTGTACTCCACAGTCAACAAAACAAACTGTGACGACGCTGTTAACGAGGAGGACAAAGAGCACGACTACAGCAGCATAGCGGAGATTAAAGGTCTGGTCCCGGCCTCCTCCTCCGGTGACCTCTACGCCACCGTTCGAGATATCTACAGCCAACCCGATGAACCCGGCCCCGCCGACAGCACAGACCCAGGCTACGAAACCATCCGCATCCCAAAGACTAATAGCTCAGAGGACGAGCACCGAGCCGAGGGGTCAGACGTGGGCAAGGCGGAGCCCGACTATGAAAGCGTCGGAGAGCTGGGTCTGGGCCCAGAAATGTCCCGCCTTTAAGTCATCGTCCCCGCTCCCCTCCTCGTATCGCCTGGATGCATCTAACAGAACAGACTTCGCTGCAGTGCTTTAAGCTTGCTATCAAGGATGCTTTGGGCGCATGACTTGTGAACAGAAAACAGCTCGCTGCAGCATCCACCCAGCCGTGCACGAGCATCCTCCTTATAGCCTGGGTACGGTTTATCATATCCAAACTTGACTCCTTTAGTTCATCAGTCATGGTGAATGTCATCGGTACTGGTGGGCCTTAACAACACTTGATTGTGGAAGAAAAATATTCAATAGTTAAACTATCAAATAAATATCCAATCGCAGCACTCATGCAGCATTTTAATAGTTAGCTAACGACACTATCTAAGAAAAAGAAAAAAGTAATTCAGTGCCATAAAGTGATGGTGAAATTCATGCACTTACACACGTGAAGGTTATATTATTTTGTGTGCTCTCTCTGCAGCTGCTAGTCTTTCTAGTTTCTTCCGAGTGACTCAGTGTCATGTTTTATTGAGGTGTCAGGTGGTGTATTTTTAGGCTTTTTTCCTGTCAGGTCGGCAACACCTCCACTGTGCATTCTCCACAAGAAATTAGGTTTCTCCCACCCCTCTCAGTTTTGCTGCCAAACGGTTAGCAGAGACAGAGGTTGCATTCAGTAGATTTTCACCATTTAACACAGCTGATGAATTCCCTGCCGCGCACACGTGTCATTGCTCAGACTACACGGCGCATGTGTGTGGGCTTAGCGTGTCGCAGGTTGACGCTAGTCATCTGTGGCGAGCCAAAAAAACGGAAAACGAGGAGTGAAGGAAGAAGGGAAGTGTCGCAACACGTTTTTAAAGCTTTTTTTTGTTGTTGTTCTTTTAGAAGAGCTACAGTCGATGTCAAAGGGTTTTTTTTTGTGAATTTCATATTTATTTGAAGACGATTATTGTTGTGTAATTGTGAAATGTTAAAGTATGTCTGTGAGAGAAAAAAGCGAATAGGCATTTATAAAAAAAATTACATTTCTAGCGTTTTTACTGAGATACTAAATGAAAATGAGTTGCGAGGATTGTGGCAGTTAGGTACGTGTTCCCCCCAGAGCATTTAAAGAGTTCATTGTTTTTAAAAAAACAACAAACAAATGAAAGAAAGAAAGAAAAATGAATGTGTCAGTGTATATTGTCATTTTGCACACTTTGGTCAAACAAGTTCAGATGACATATTGTGATGAAATGACGCGACGAGCTTGTATTATTGTACTTCGTATGTTTCCTCGAGTCTATTCTTGGTACAGTCTTCTGTCGGCATTAAAGCACAAGTACAGATTATCGAAAGCAGTTAACATCGCTGCACACTTTTCAACATCTAGCGCTTCTTTTTTTCTTTTAAATACAGGAAACCATGCCTGTCTCTGTGTAGCTTGAACTGACGACAGTGCCAATCGAGGCTTGTAGTTAGAGGAGTATTTTAATCAACTGTTACTCGCTGGAAAATTTAATGTGAGCTTTTACTTATTTGTACAATGTCCAGAGTCATATAGTTTTAAAATAAGATTAAAAGCACTGATTGTATGACTTGTTTTAAGAAAAAAAAAACAGCTTCAACCATGTTTTCATGTTATTTTAACTCAAAGTTGATGGCGTTTCATATCTGAGAATATCCATTGAAATGCCAGACATATGGTACGGCTCCTTTTGGTACATGCATATTAAGAAACCTGTGGTACTTTTATTAAACACAAAAAAGAAATTGCCTCGTTACTGTTTATTTTTAAATGAATACTGCCTCTGCTTTGTGCTGTAAATATTTTTTTTTTTGTCGTCGTTATTATTTTTATCATTGCTACAGTATGTAACCTCTTAGCAGAAAAATCGGTGTCATCTGTTTCCACCCACATCAGAATATTACAGCGTTACAGTATCTCCAGCATCGGGTTTGTGTTTCATTAGACATGCTGGAGCTCGCCCGTGGTTTCATACGGCCTGCTCTGACTGCTATCGGATTAATAAATTATATACATTTGAAATGCTGTTGTATCTCCCAGTGTTGCTACTGTGAAAGAGGATTTTAAATGCCACTCCCCCCCCACACACCCACCTCCCAGTATTTTATGAGAAAAACATCTTTAATTATCAGTTTTGTTGTTTTCTTTTTCACTAGGAAGGAAGATCTGCCAAAGTTGGGGGGGGTGTTGGTGCCAAATCTAATCAGGACAAAACTTAAACACACCGCTAAAAGATGCTTACTCGCACCAAAAGATTATTCTCTCAAGCTGTTGGTCAGATAAACACATATTTCCTTATAGGGATTGGGGGGGAGTGGAGAAGCACCCTCACTAAATGAGATGATTTGCCCCCCGCCCCCTCCCTTCTCCTCCCGCTCACGACCATCAGACAACTCTATGGTGACACCCGCCTTTGATTAAAGGGCAAAGCCTGGTTTGGCGGTTATAGCCACATCTGTCACTCCACTCTGTCCAATTTCCATTCTGTGCATGTAAATATTTTATGACATGAATTGTTCTATTAAATATATAAGTATAATAAATGGTGCCATTTTGTCTTTTAATTCTCTGGGGCGATGTCTTGTAGAAGGATTGTACGCTGGGTAAGAGTTTCCAAAAACATTAACGTTTGACATTAATTAGGTCATTTGTTTCTGTGATAACATTCTTTGGTGTATTTTCTCTGCCACGCTGGGTGATAATTACGATGAATCAGTGTGCTGGCACACTTGATTTATCAAACTGAACTTTCTTTTCAAAAGAGAGAGATTTATCCCGGGACTTTTTTGGTTCTCAGAGAGCGATAGCTTGTGAAATCACACTTTTAAATGTCTCATTTAGTACGTGATGCCAGCTATATGAGAGTTAACAGCCCTCTGAGGCGGCTTTAAGATTATTTGAAGGAAGGGGACTACCCCGGTCATCAAGTTAGAGACCCCTGGGCACAAGTGTTTAATAAGACCCTGCTGACTTTTTTCTTACAGTTCTAAAACGTTATGGAGGGCGCTGTCTATCCTTGGAAAATTAAAATGTATTTATGATGATATAAATTCATCCCTAAGTATGTAAAGTATTTTTTTTCCTTCTTCCTATAAGGATAATGCTGTTTAATCGAAGGGTCCTCACACCTGTTGTGGTCTCCCTCCTGTCCTCCTCTGCTCCCCTTTCGGTTCTTTGTGTCTTTCTGCTTCTTCTACTCCTTTCCCTCCTTTTCAGGCTCAATTGCAGGGTTGTCAAAAATAAGGCCCAGGGGTCAGAATTGACCAACAAAGCCTCCAATCTGGCCTATTGGACATCTTTGGAAAATGCGAAGAACAGCATAAATTTTGGTCTTTTAACTATATTTTAATCATTTTAATCAACTTCTTTGCACTGACTAAAAAGCAAATTTCACTGGTCAGGCCCAATTAAGATAACAATGGGCTTTATATGATCCAGTATGTAAAATGAGTTTGCCATCCCTGCTCTACGATGTTCTGTACAATTAGGTCCATTAGTATACAGCAGCACATTTTTTTATTTGTATTGCCTCTTTGCTTGTTTGTGGGGTTCTCTCTGGTTTCAGTTTTTTCTTCAGGGACTGAAAAGCATGCTCTATTGGGCTAGGATTAGGTGACTGACCTGGCAATTGAAAAATATCCAATTTCTTTGATTTGAGAAACTTTTGGGTTGCTTTTGCAGCATGCTTTGAGACATTATCCGGAGAGTGTAGCCCTGTACACTTCACATCCTGCTGTTTATCCTGCTACTTCTATCAGTAGCCACATCATCGTCCTTTGGTTAACTCTCCAATTACTTTTGAGCATCTGTATGAAAATGACTGTATGAATGCAACCCTTGAATTCAAAGTGAAAGTTTGCACTTGGTGTAAAATCCACTGTGCTGGTATAAAGATGAAAAATGATAAAAACAATGCAATTGTATCTATCTATCCATCTATAAAAAACAAAACAGCAGTAAAAGTTGTGAAAATATATTTAAGAGTCCAAAGTCATACCCTCCTTTATTTGTTATAAAACTGTGGGACCGGTTAAAGTCTTTGTCAGGGCGATTATGGTCCCCGGACCTTATGTTCGACAACCAGTTTTACCAGAACAAAACTGGCATGTTAAAAAAGGGAAATAACCTGTTGTTTTTATAAGCAAAAACGCAGACCAATTCAGCTCATTTAATTTATTTATTTTTAACCAGATCATAGTAATTCAGAGGTCCCACGGCACCTGAAAAGTAGGCTGTACAAGTAGGTTAAAGCATGAAGCTTTGCTGCCTGGTCCAAATCTTCTCTCTTCCACAGCCTAAATTCCCGCCTTTTTCCTTTCTTCCCTCTGCCATAACCCCCTCCCTTCTCGCTTCCAATCTCTCCTTGCGTCATTGTTTTCAATGGAGCATCCTCCCCGGTTGCATTACCTTCTTTCGGAGGAGAAGGGGAGCGGTGGGGGCTTGTGGAGGCGTGTGCAGCGCCGACCAATTAGAGACCGCCGTGGCCGCCGGACCGCACATGTTTACAGGCAGCATTCCGCCGGTAGAGTCCCCTCTCGGTCTGAGGTGACGGCGGACTGGATGCGGCAGTAGTTGGAACCGGAGCCGGTTAACGGTCAAATTTCAATCTTTTGTAACACATACGGCGAGGTGTCGGGGTACAGAGCCGTGTGGGGCGGAAAAATTCGACGTGCTGGCTCCCGTGCCTCTATGCTCAAGCTGTTTGCCCTGTATTAGCCACCATTTTTACTTAATCGTGTATAAGTGTCGCCTCGGCTCACGACTACGGCGATTAGTCCGCGTTTTCCCGCCGCCCCTTCAGCTCGCAGGGAGCAGAGAGGAAAACAAACAGGTCGAACGGAGGAAGATTGGTAGCCGGTTGGATGTAGAGGTTGTTTAGCAGCGAATGAATCGTAGTCGTCGGCTACTAATTCAGAGCTGGTCGGTTTCTTGTTTCTTTTTTTACGGGGTGCTTGTGCGCGGTGCATTCCGGACGCTGTTTGGAGTTTCCCCCTCCTCCGAGTATGTTGCCCCTTTCTAACATTTTGTCAGGGCTGTTGGAGCGCGTAGTCTACCCGCTGCAGTTTTGTGTTTTTCACGACGCTGTTTACCGGCTATAATTCGACGCTTAATGATTTAATTTTACCGGCTCGCCGGCTTTGAATACAGTGAAACAGTTTTTAGAGATGCACACGAGGCGCCTGGTGAAGCGCTCGGTCCTCGGCAGCCGCGTTTATGCGCCGAGTCCGACGGGGGACGGTGCCCCGGTGACAGGAGTGGTCCAGGCTGTCAAGCAGGAAAACAGAGACTTGTCGGCTGCGGGAGCCCGGCGAAGCGTCTACACCGTGCTCATGCAAGACGGGAGCCTCAAGGAGTTCTCCGAGGAGGAGATAGCCTCGGGCTTCAACCACACCGCAGCCAAAGGACCACTCAAGTCCAGCCTGAAGGTACGTGGGTCCGACCGGCAGGCGACGCTTCACTGTTGTTGTTGTGCGGTGTTTTGCAGCGTTTAACCGCTTCCTGCACGGAGCGGATTTAACGGTGTCACCGCCGCCGTTCCCGCCGCCGCGGACGAGAGATTTAACCGGCTGGGATTTAAAAAAATGCGTTATGCTGTTATTGCTATAATGAGTCGTTTGCATATTGAAGCATATAACGGACTGTCATGACATTTGGCGACATCAGATATATAGGACAAAGGGCTTGATGGGGCCTGCGCAATGTTTATGTGGGCTAGTGGGTGGGTAAGATGAGGCAAACAAACACGCTCTGACTGCAGCGTTTTAGACTGATGTAAATAACCGGCCCGAGGTTTTTGCATGCTCGCCGCCTTATATTTTATACATATATGTATGTGAATGTGACATTTCTTACAGATAATTCTGCGCAACCGGCATTTAATTGCACATTTGGTTAAAGACTTAATTACATTTAGGTTTTTTTGTTGTTGTTGTTTTTTTTCTCTCATTCATATATTAATGCATGTTACACAGTTTAAAATCGATCGTCTCTGTGTGCACTCATTCTGCTCAAGGGTGTTATTGTTTTAAGAGCTATTATAAAAGAGATCACGCGCACTTCTTGTTGCATTAGAGTCAAGATAGTAAGTTGTGACGGTGTCCAAATCTGCAGTCCTGATGTAGGCCTAACAAGCGATGATCTGATTGCCTTGCAATCCAACTTGAATGCTTTTCTGTCACGTGGCCCCAAATAAAGATTGTGCGAGGAAGAAAAGGCCAATTCAGCTCTTGGATGAGCACACTGTTTCTAACATAGGGGAAGTGTGTGTGTGTGTGTGGGGTATTGTGTTCATCCTTTTTATAGCGAAGGAGTGACTGAGGAATGCTTGTGGCTGAATAACAACTTTTTTTGATGCTGTGATTTTGATTGCATTTCTTGTGTGTGTGTTTTCATGTTGTTGATGCAGAAACTTGCAGGCTGTAATCTTCAGTCTTATTTCTATGACCAAAGCTGAAATGTTGAGCCACAGCTTGTGGATCTGTCACAGTTCCTGCAGCAGTAAATTATACTCTTCTGCCTGAAAATGCACATAAATCTCGTAAACTGTTATTTAAATCGTTACAAACAGATGCCAGATCTTCCCAAAGATAAACCCGCTCTTCGGGGGGACTTGTTAGATCTGTGAGTGATGGGAAATGCAGTGTGAACTTAGGTCTCCCGTTTTGCAGTTGTTCATGCAGTGATCAACACAAAAGCTGTTGCACAATTCTGTTACAGTCCCCAGCGCAGGCTGGAGAAGTGCAGCTGAGGGTGAGAGCGTATTCCTGTCAGCACAATGGTCAATTCTCTTTCAGCACGACTCAATTCCCGCTGATGTCGAAAACAAGCCATAAAATGAGGAGGAGGGGTATGCTCTGTATGTGCGTGTGTGTCTGTGTGTGTATGCATTCACATGTGCATCTGTGTTACTTTTTGTGTGCATTAGGGCGCTAATATAAATGTGATTTTCATCTGTTGTGTGTTTTGGATCTTTAACGAGTGAGATGTGACTGCTTTAAATCCTGGAACAGGAGCTGTTTGTGAGAGCATGCCACCCCGTTTGAACAGCAGCAGCTGTACGGCCGACAAAGTGGGCGCCCCCAGGTTGGCAACGGGTGGCGTGCTCCAAAGAATCTGGATGCTTGGCTCTGTGCCCAGAATGGCGAACGAATGGTCCCTGTTTTGCATGGGGCGGGAGTGGGGGGGCGCGATGCCACTTGTTGACTTGCTGTTTTGTGCAAATGTATGTTGTGTGAGAACTAAGTTATGGTGATTTCTCCAGCTGCTAACAAAGAGATCTCACTCACTTCTTGTTGGGCCGGAGCTGTCGTTGTTTGTGTTTGTTGCACACCGATGCGGGAGTCAATGAAGCAAGCTTGTTGACAGAGGCTGTGACTCTTTGTTCTAAGGCGGTGATCTCAGGCGGGCCCGTCGCTGGCTGTGCTTATTGGTTCGCTGAGCAACATCAGCAGGAACTACAGTCAGTCTGGATGCTGGCGCCCATGTGGAAATGGATGAGTAATCCTTTGAGGGTGAAGGATGGTTATATATATATATATATATAAGTATTACTAATATATTATAATAATAATTTGTACATAAAGGCTCATTTACCATCATTTGCTTCTGAGTGTTTGACATTGACCATACTAGACTATGGACTATGTCTACAAGGTGTTACATCCACTTGTTATACTGATAAGACTCTCCAGCTGTGTCCATTTTATAGACTATTTAAGATGGCAATGGCGGGTTAGTGAAGTACTGCTGTGAAGCTTCGAGCTGAGTATTTTCACCAGTATCATCTTGGTATTAAGATGTAACAAATGAGAAGTGGACTCAGGGACACCACACACTCACTGGTTTATAACTTGTGATCGACAGGTACACAGTGAGTTGGTTTTAGCCTCTTTTTTTGACACTAATGTATTCAGTATGATTTTAAAAGTAGTGATGGAGCTCATAAACTCATTAAGAAACTGTTAATGAGATCACACATTGGGGCAGTTATAGAGTTTGAAAAATTTGCAGCCTGCTGGCCATTGAAAAGAATGCAGGCTTAAGTGGAGCCCGACAGATTTATCGGTGGGCCGATATTTTCAGCCATTATTAGTTATCTATTGAACTGTTGGTATTGACGTTTATAAAGACAGATGGGAAAAAAAAGAAAAAGAAATCAGAGAAAGAGCCCTTCACTGATGTTATGATTGTTGATGATGCATAGTTTGTCCACCAGAGGGCACTCCACAATTTTTCTGTTCCGAAACCGGGTTTGGAAGCTACCTACACAACAACCAGCTGACCTGAGTGGAGTCGGTCAGAGTGTACACGAGTAAATACACGTTACAAATATTAGAGAAATCTGTGTATGTCTCGTGTGTCTGAAAGAAAAAAATATTGGCAATATCAGAATATAAGATTTTTTTAATCACCAAATGTCTGTCGAAATTGGTCTTAAAAATCCCGTATTGGTTAGACGCTTCTGCATTGGCTTCCCTTTTCAGACCTTGAAGCGACTTTCATTTTTCATACACAGTCTATTGTGTGTGTCAGTAATACTCTGAATGTAATACTCTGCTAAAGCTATTGTGCGTTACCGACATGTTCTCAAGTCAAGGAACCAGTACATCATAAGTAAAAGGATAAGAAAGGTGATAACTTCATCCACTAACTAAACCTTAATGTATACAGTGCATCCAGCTGAGATCATTTGGAGCCCAGCTAAAATAATCAAACTAAACACAGTCATTTAAATCTGTCTTTTATTTTTAAATTAGTTAGACACCTTGGGCTGTGTAATTAAAATGTAGATTTTTCAATTTGTACATAACACCCTACAGGCAGCTATAGCCCACAGTTTGGCACATGTTATGCTCAGGATATTTGGCCCAGCCTGATTAGATTGACTCACCAGGCACCATGCCAAAGGGTCATTTTGACAAAGTATTCATATTGTAAGTTAATTTTAATTAAAAAAAAAAAAAGTGATGTTATTGCCATGTGCCAGGATATTTTTGTATGAGGATGATACACTTTTTCCCCTTAATTTAATATTTAAAGCATCCAAAAAATATATTGCTGCACTTTTTTTGAATGAAATTGTGTTTTTAAAAAAGTCAATGTTTGTTTGCATTTTTTTTAAACTTGTGGTCAGGATGTGGTTCAGTCCAGGAATGCCATATTGGAAAAACTGAGATTATGAGTAAGCCATTAACTGTCTTTATCAGAACTATTTTTAATAGTCATAAAAGAAATTCCTCCCAGCAACAAAGACCCACATGAGCTAACAGACGTGGTTTCCACTGAAATTCTTTATTATGACCTTTGACCTGCACAGGTAGAAGAATCTTTACGCTTCACAAACTGCTGTAAGTAGGTTACGAGTTTTAATTTGTGTCTCTTTGAGTGGGACACAGAACGAGAATGATAGATGAGGAGAGGAGGGACACTCCGGGTATTTGTTCTCTGCACAGGCACTCACGCACGCACACACACACACACCAGCTTTGACATATGCGACTCACATTTCACCACCGATTTGGCATGATTCACAATTTCCTGGCTCTCTGCAACGCTATAATTCATAAGCCCGGTGAAAGGAAGGAATTACGGTTGGTTTTATCCGAGGAATACACTCATCTTACACACAACACCTAATCTTCTCCCAGCCGGTGTAATCCATCTTGTTGTTTTGCTCAAGTTTGTGTTTTCATTGTGTATTTTGCACAGCACTGGGCATTTTTTGTGACGAGACTATATCATGAATGATATTTGATATCCATTCGTCATGTTTTTTTCTGTCTCATTAATCGAAATGAATGGTGTTGTGTGTTGGGCGTGTGCATTCTGTGTGTGTGTGTTGACTTTTCCACAGTAAAGACTAATCCTGTTGCACTGCTTTAAGATAATGATCTAGTTCACACACACGAACAGACACACACTGGCCTGAATGCCATTCTCCTCAGCGCTCGGTGTGGGCAGCTGTGTGTGTCACTCTGCTTTTGTTTTGCCATTTTCTCAGTGTGTTTTTCTAAGATCACCGTGGCTTTAGCTACAAACAGAGGTGCGTGTGTATTTGTGTGTCTGTGTGTATGTGTTGGTAGGTGCATTTGCGCTTGTTTTTTGATCCGACAATCTTGCCAGAGCAGGTCACCTTAATGGCTGAAGCCCTGAAACAAAGAAAGCCATTGTTGCTGGTTACCCCAGTCTACCTTGAACTTCATTCTGCTTTTTTATTGCTTCTGCAATGTTGCCCGAATCGTAGCAAGATGAATCAGTATGTCTGTGAGATAAAACAGGCAGTTTATCTGAGACTTTATTTTGCCCTAACAAAAAAAAATGTTGTTTTTATTACCCTTTAAGGATTTATTTAATTAATAAACACCATTACTTTGGTTGTGGCAATAGACTGTACATAAAAGATGACTATTTATGTGAAAATGCTCCTTGGCTTCCGTGAACTATGATGTTAGTCAACATTTTATAGTCTCTGTTGACAGTTTGATTCTTATTTAATAAAACACAATGTTTACGTTATGAAATCTGTAGTCTTACAGTAAAACTAGAGCTGGGCGATAGCACGATAACGATATGCATTGCGAAATAACTTTTTCTCGATAGAAAAATTAAACTATTGCAATAGACCTCACCGCTCTTGTCCTCTTAAAAAAAAAAAAAAAACAGCCAATCCAAATTAAGTAGCGCAGAGCCGAACCAATCACAGCCGCAGCGTCACGTCACGTGACTTGTTACGTACAGCACAAGTGCCAAGCCGCACATGTGTATTTGTTTGGGAAGCAGCCAGCCAACCCCGGGTAATGGAGGAAAAGAGTGTGCCGACTAGAGAAAAATCAACCGAGCGTGACCGAAGGTTACCGAAGAGAAAACAGATGATGGTTGTCGAACGGAAGAGCCATAGAAGTTCCTTAGTGTGAAAGTATTTTGGCTATTTCAAGTCTGACAAAAAACAGAATAGCACGCACTGTAAATTGTGCCGAAAACAAGTCTGGAAATACAATAAAGCGGTGCATGCTCAGTCTCTGACTGGAAGCGCTAATTCGTCATTCGGCTTTTGTCAGACTAAAGTAACTGTTAAAACTGTTTGAAAAGCTAAGCTATACAACAAGGAGAGATTGAGAATTTCCTTTTAGTTCTCAGTTTATTTGATATTGACAAAAGTTAGTCAATTTTGTCTGTTCTTCTGTAAAACAAACTAAGATTTATTTTTAGAATTAATATTTTGTTTCTAAGTGGAATTGACAATTTAGTCTGTTTCATTTGTTCTATTTTGAAACTTAAACGCTTTAGCGGCTGCCTTTTGTGTAGTTTGCAATATTTGCCTTTATTTATCTGAAAAAGTCTCATGTTCCTTAAGTACATCTACCCCGTTGAACTTATTATGGGAAATAAATATTTAAATAAAAACAAGCTGCTGATTATTTCACATTTTACTTGTGAGCAACGGCACATTTAAATCTTACAAATATAGTTATTTGGCTTATATCGTGATAGATATCGTTATCGCCTGAAATGAAAAAAACATATCGTGATATGAAAAAATCTTATATTGCCCAGCTCTAAGTAAAACCAATGCAATGCAGCAGGGTTGACCTATATTCTTATTTCTTGAGAAGTTACTGAATAAGCGTGCAGTGTCCCCAAGTTTCTCAGTCTGATCCAACCCTTGCTTCTTATATCTGACAAAACCACTCTGTTTGAGGCTTGGCTATGGGAGATAAGTAACCAATGTGATGATGTAGTGAAACCAGTGAAATATTCTTCCTCTTTATGTATTTGTTTAAAATACAATGATAGGGTTTTTTCTGTGTATAAGAATGTCTGGGACCAAAGACTTAGGATAATAATATATATATAATTTGTTTTTTTAAGCATTAAAAAGCCCAGCTCTGCAATTTCAAGTAAGGCCTAGTAAGGACAGATTTACACTTTACTGTTGTTTATGCCAAATTCTGACCATACCGTCTGCACACACTGGTTGTAACCAGCGTCCTGTCCGCTTGAGTTTTCTGGATGTTGTCTCTTTTTAAGACCTTTCTTTGTAAACCATAGAGATGGTTATGTGGGGAAAAATCCCAGTAGATCAGCAGTTTCTGAAATCCTCACCCAGCCTTTTGGGCACCAACAACCATGCCCCATTCAAAGTTACTTAAATGACCTTTCCTCGCCATTCTCATGGTCAGTTTGAACTTCAGCATGTCTGCATGGCTAAATGCATCAACTTGCTGAAATGTGATTGGTTGACTAGATATTTGTGTTACCAAGGAGTTAAGCAGATGTTCCTAATAAGGTGGCTGTGATACATACATACATGCAAACCCTTCTTTCTCTCTCTGGCCTTATCAATAAATTGCTCACATTTCTTCCACTAAAACCTGATGGTGTTTGTGAAAGTACAGATGATGCTGTTTTTAAAAATGAATTTTCTTTTAGTTTTTTTTTAAACAAATTACTTTAAAAGCAAGTGTGGTGCTATTATGTAATGTTTTATTATATTTTTGCTCATGACAGTGCAGTTTTTTGTGGAAAACCTCATCCCTCCAAAACGTCTGCAGGAAGAATAATAGACTGGTTTTGTGACTGACCACTGTTCATTTTTTACTCTGTCCAGTGTGTTTTGGCAAAGACTTTTTTTAGGCCCAAGAATGTGGAAATTTTCTTAAACCGTATTTAGACTGTGTTCTATCACATTTGAAATGTAAACATTCAAATTCAAATTTTAGCTGCCAGGTTTTGCGGCAGCCAATGCCCAGACCTTATTTTCTGTCTATTTTTACTTTTGGTTACTCTCTTTAATAATAAATTGAAATGGACTCATTCTGTAGATGTGTTCTTCACCAGTAACAGAATTGCAAAAGATATTTATCATTATGACCTTGTTAAATAAAAAAAGAGGCCATTTGAAGGAGCTGATTGCTACTTCATCATTTCTTCCAACTTATTTATGTGGTATTTCTGCACAAGCACTGAATTATTTCTTTTTTTCGCCTCTCTACAGCAGAGCTCCAGTAACGGAGCTCCAGATGGCCAGAAGGTGGAGGGCGGCTGTCTGAGTCCAGAGCCAGCGGAGGAGCAGCGTTCAACGGACGGAAAACGTGTTAGCCGGGACTCTGACACCCGATCGGTGTCCCTGCTGGAGCAGAAACGCAAAGTAGTCTCCTCCAGCATTGACGTCCCCCACGCTAGGTAGGACTGTGTATATGAAATTCTCTAGCAGTGACAGTCTGATTCCTATCCTGCAGGCAGCTTGGCTAGAGTGGCACAGGCAAAGTTCACGAAAAGTTTATGACATAGATATGTCATCTCACAAATAGGACAGACCTTATGTGGGCTGACATCCTGTATTTTATTTGATCCTCGAAGCCATTTTTGCAGCACATAGTTTACAAGATAATTTGGCAAGAGTCTGCTTTACTCCATTACATAAATATTTTATTATATGGCCTCACACATGCTACACTCTTCCAACATACAGTGTTGTGTGTGTGTGTGTGTGTGTGTGTGTTTATTATAAATAGATAGATATATAGTTGCATAGATGTGTATGTGCAAGTAATCCATATAATCCAAAGGTTCAGGCTTCAGACTGATGTAAACACTCAACAGTTTGTTGTTTTTTTTTCTACTGTTAATGTGGATGATGTCATCTCGGGCAGACAGCTGTCTGAGAACATGCCTCAAAGAACTGCTTTTCAAATCTTCTCCTTGTGATCGAGACAAGAAAGTTGACTTCAAGGGAGGGAGAGGGTAGCTAAAACTGCTTCCTGACATAGCGTGAACTACACCAGTGTCTACTATAAGATAAATGTGGATTATTATGAATCGTGACTCACATAAAGCTAGTTTAGTAGAATCCAAGAGTAAAAATATGGAGGCGGAAATGAGCATAATAGGTCCTCTATAAACCGATCCAGACATTTTGTTGATTTAGGATTCTATCCGTGTTCTGAATATTAAAAGGTTTTCAGCAAAATGTTGCTTTTGGATGCTGTTTCTTTAACTTGCAGAAGCATTTATGGGTATTGTTATTTAAACGGCATGCCTCTCTGGTGGTTTCTCAACAGTTACCCTGTTGAGCGTCTTTCCTGCTACACAGCAAAGACACCGTGGCCTTGCAGAATACTTTGCCCTTATAGTCCGCGTGTACAGTTGTTGCTTTCATGTGGTATAAACATTGGGGCACATATTCCAAACTGATCCTACATGCAGAACATAACCCTATACAACTGGAAATAATTATTATGTTATGATGCATTAGTTATTTCTTTACTCATTCGGTGGTTCTCTTTACACTGCACACACACACGTGCACACAAATATTATTTTAGACCACCAGACTAATTCCCCACATAAGCCATTTCCACAATAGAGCAGTTAACCATTGGTGGGCAGCAGTGCACGACAGTGAAGTTCTATCTAATAAAGGAACAACACTCTTTCTCAATTAAATGTGAAACCCTAATACCTTGTAAAGCACTTTGCTGTTATTGGACATCACTCCTCATTACCTGCCTTCACTCTGCTGCTGGAGTCCAATCGATGGCAACTTGCTGAAAAGTACAGCAAAAGTTTCCCATTTGTGCAACTTTATCACTCCATCCTGAGCTATTGCCTTAAATTTAACTGTTATTTGTTGATGAGTCATTGATTAGAAGCTGCCTTATGGCCCATTAAGAAGGAAGAAAGGTCTATCGCATAGATTAGACTGGAATTTCATACTTGTCCTTTGGATGGGGATTGCAAAAATATTGATATTTATGTGTTTATGGTTGGATGTCTTATTGATTATCTTGCTGCTCAAGTTTATGTGCAATCACTAGACCAACTTCATGTTGTCTAGTGATTGCACCTCCTCCCGCTGAGGCCAGCTAAAAACATTGTAGCCACGGGGAGATGTCTTATAAGTCACATTCAGAAATCCTCATAAAATGACTGAAATAAGACATGACCTTCAGAGAGCTTCACATCTTCAGAGTTATTGGTGTGGGCACACACAGCACTCCGAAAATCCAAATTGGCTCTCCAGCCAGAATTCCAACTGGATTATGTATGCTGTGATCTTATTTAGACTGTGCAGACATCTCTAAGGCACCAAAAACATGAACACTGTGTGCAATACTTCTTGTGTATATAGAAGCAACCAATGACTAAAGTTAGATTTAGTTTTAAACTATGAACACCTTTGCGTATTTGGGTGTGAAATGAAAAGCTAACAATGGCTGCCATGGCTACTTCTAGCACATTGCCATGGCATGATGGCGTTTGGCAATGTGCTTCTGGAGTCGGGGGCTGTGCTATAACAAAAACTAGTCGTGTCAGATTGTCAGAATAGATCGCACTAATTCCAATCTCATGGTTAGAGGTTAGGATATGGTACCTAAACCCACTATCCACTCTAATGAAGGGCAGCAGATCTTTCACAGTAAACTTGGAAAGAACCCTGTAATTATGTTTTGGTTTTTTTCCCTGCTTTGTTCTAATGAAGCTCTGGCTGCCACTTGTTGAAACACTAATACGAACATTTAAGAAGAAGTCCTTGAAACCAATTCTGTGTACAGACTTTTGTGAAATGATAGCAAGTGTTATCTTCATTTGACAAGTCAAGGTTACACTTCACTTTTTTTGTTTTTTTTAGTTTGACAATTTCCATCTGCATCTGAACCAAAAACAGTCAAACATGCTGAAATGCTCTGGCCTTATCAGATCTTGTATTTTTAAGTCTTTTCTGGGGTTGTTTGTGTTACTGCCTTTTTGCACATCAGCAACTTTGTCATTATTAGGGATTTGTTAGTTATTTCACTTTGTGAGCCAAAAAATGAAAGTCACATAAATACCATTTGAAGTCATAAGCCACTTTTCCATAGATTTTTCCATTTTTCAATAAATCGCTGCACCACCTTCCTATTTTCATCGCAATAAATTTAAACAAATGAACTTCTGTACAGAACTCTACTTTCATTTATACCTTAAAGACACCTCTCTTCTGTTTCTGAACATTATTTTTCTGCCGTCATTCGGCAGACACAGTAATGACAGAGACAGGAGACATGGGAAGATAAAGCAAATGTCTATATGTGCAGATGACTTGTTTGCCCCTCAATAAAGTTTCAGCATTGAAGAAGAATAATTGTGGATTATAATTGTGCAAAAGCAGACCCCCCCCCCCAAAAAAAAAAAAAAAAAAAACAATCAAGAAGGTGGAAAGTTCATTGTTGCTGCCTCTGAGAGCAGGTATGATTCTAAGCTCTTTCTTTAGATATCCCCACAGTGACCTCTTCGGTATACAGCTCCATTATTGCCTCAAGATTAAGATCCAAAGGTCTCATCCGCTGCACACCTGCGACCAATTTTAAACCTGCTCCCACACTGGGGAAGAAATTGTGTCGCCGCTGACCACAGAGTAACGCTTATCTGTAATGAAGACAAAGGGGCAAAGAGACGAGAGGGAGGGAGGTGGCGAGGAGTAATGGTGGCAAAGGAACGAGGGAGCCCAAGGAAGCCCAAGCACCGAGGGGAAATTTGTGCATACAGCGGAGGGGAAGAAGGTAACGGAGCTGAGAGAGCATGTGTAGCTATTAAGTTAACAGCAAAAGAGAGAGGAAAGGGAGAAAATGCCTGAGGATTTTTGTCAGAGAGAACTCTCCAGAGAAGTCTGACCTTGAGGTTGTTAATTGCGCTCTGAAAAAAAAAGAGTTCCCTCTCAACTTGTGATTTACCAAGAAAATGTCTGGCTGTTTGATGGCTCTCCAGATCCCTTGCAACCTAGAATACAATAGGTTCCCTCCCTCGCTGGGATTCAGTGAAGTACCCAAATGCCTCTTCTGCAATCATTGGGAAACTAGAGGAAAAATGACAGTGTGCCATATAAGATGTTGGACCTCGGGGGGCTTTTTGTAACTACATTTCATGCTTCTGCCAGCTTGTCCAACTCTCTGTGCTTTATCGAGTAGCTGCGTACATTGCTTTTGTTTGCAGGATGCTTGCTTTGGCAACTTTTTATGAGTCCTGCAAACAAAAATCGATGGCATTGCATGATTGACATGTGTTGACTGATATTTTTTTCCATCACTACAACCCTCAAACGCTCAGAAATGATTTCCTTTTTTTGTCTTTAAAAAAAAGATTTATTCTGCACATTAAGAGTAGAAAGATTTGCTCACTGCGACAGGTTCTGATTTGTTTATTGCCATGTTTGTCTTTGCTGAATTATCAGACATGGTTAAACATTGTCAGACTGTAGTCTCAGCCAGCTGCTGGGTCTGCTCCTTCCTCCAAGGGCTTATGTTTTCTTTATTCAGGAAACGGCCAATTGTAACAAGAGCTAGTGGGGCCAGACCAGTGGAAAACGAATGGCTTGGCTCTTGACAAATAGCATTCAGGAGACTAATTGCTAGCAGGGGAAGTGAAGTATAACCCTAGATGAAGGCAAAATCAAGAGTGCTTTGCTTGTTATTACAAAATCCCAAAACAGCAGATCTGAGGGTTTAAATCCTCTTCTCTTCAGAAAGCCAGCAACCCCCCCACCCCACCCCAAATCTGTCTAGCATTAACAGAGGTTATTCATGTATTTCTAAATGACTGGACCCCTTGCTGTTCCTCCATGATGATTTTTCTTTCCTTGTTTCTTTTTTTAATACATAAAAGCTCAACAAAGTTACACATGTAATTTAATTATGGTAACTGATGACAAGGAGTCTGGTGGGGTGGACTGGAATTTGGGAGGGGACCAACTTCAAAACCAGCATTGTTGCCAAGAGCATTTTGTTATTGTCATTTTTTTTTATTGTTGATCAGTGTGCTTGCAGATCACCCAGTTTAGTGCGCTGAGCCAACCATGTGCTCCATTCTCAGAGCCGCCTGCATCCGCCAACTCAGGCATGGAACAAGGCCAAAGACAAAAAGAGGCCCAGAGGGACTCTCAAATTATCGTTTGTCTTTTGATAAAGTGGCACGGCCTGTAATCAGTTTGTTTTCCTGCTGTTCGGTGGTTTTGTTTGTGTTTATGGAGTTTTCTTACCTTTTTGGAAACACCGCTGCAGCTCTCGCTGCTTTTGCACAACGTGTTTGTGTTTGCGGTGAGCGCCGGCGCTCGAGTTTCGAAATAAGAGAAAGTAGGGGAGCGGCATGGGTTTTCGAAAGAGTGAGTGACATAGAGGGAAAGCGAGAGAGGGAGGGAAAAAGCGCAC